TCAAATTTTAAATACTACATCCGACATTTGTAGATTAAAACAAAGCCTTAATACTAAGCCAGGTAGGGGCTGGGAAGGAGGCTCAGTTGGTAGAGTCCTTGCCTTGCATGCATGAGGCCCTGGGTTCGATTCCTCAGCACCACATAAGCAGAAAAAGCTGGAAGTGGTGCTGTGGCTCAAGTGGTAGAGCACTAGCCTTGAGCTGAAGAGCTGAGGGACAGTGCCCAGGCCCAGGGTTCAGGCACCGTGACTGGCAAAAAAAAAAATACTAAGCCAGGTATGCAAAGTCTTTTTGTTAATGGCTAAAAAAAAAGTTAAAAATCACTGATGACTACCATAGGACAGAGGAAATGCTGTGGATTCTCTGGTTGAGTGTATATGTATCTGAAAAAGAAATGGAGGCAGCATTTAATAAGTGCCAACTTTGCCAGGTATTCACACTGTATTGGTATGAGTTTGGATAGATGTAATTGGCCCCATTTTCCAGACCAAGTAACAGAGAGGACAGTGCAGCTTGCCCAAAGTGATGAACTTTGAACTTTGGACTCAGGTCTACTAGGATCTATAATAGCTCCTTTACTTTTCACTAGTCTGGTTGTAGGCCAGACTAAAGAACTGACAGTAACAGCTGGAATTGACTCACCGTACAGCTGGAAAGGAATGGGCAGTAGGGAGAAGGGGCAGAGCTTTGGGGATCAGGAGGCGGCATACTAGCTAATTCCATTTTTCTTCTTGTTCGGTGCCTATATTTTAGTAGTAGTGGTTCACTTTCTAGCTTAGTAAACTCCTTGTACATCCAGTCTTGCTTGGTAATTGCTTCTTATTAGACTTGAACCCAGAGCATCAAGCCAGCACCATTCTCCTATGATAAGCAGCTCTAGCACTTGGGTGCTTGGTAGTCATCAGCTTGCTTTTGAGCATAGCCAACTACTTTTATCCCAGGTAGTCCTGGACTACCTAAAGGCACTTTGACAAGTCTGAAATACCTAATAAGCAAGTGAGGCTAGATCTCAACATAACAGGCTCTGGGGACGCCAGCAGTGGCTGGCCACAGGCTGGTGAGATGATGAGATCTGGTAAGATTAAGGTTATAAGGACGCAAGGAAAAATGTATTATCCCTTGACAATTAGTACATCAGAAACAGGACAGGCCCTGTGTTTAATTTCTACAGCAAGGATGTTATAATCATTTTGTATTTGTAAATTAGGTAAGATAATAATACGTATTTACTGCTTGCTCTATGGCAGTCACTATACTAAGCTCTTTTCTTAGTAACACCAAGCCAGACACTTAGCCAGTACCCATTGTTGTTAACAAAATCTTGCTATGGTTGAGGCGACAATGTGTTCAGCTGCAGGTAGTGTTCATGGTTCACAGTCACAACACACCTGTTCTCTTGTACTCCCCACCGCTGCACGAAAGGGTATGGGACTGGATAATGGAACACACTTCTAGAAAACTAGGAGGAATCCCTCACTCCCTTCAGCTCTTCACCCCAGTGTCACCTTCCCTGACCACCCCTAACACATAGCAGGTACAAAATATATTTCTGTGAGAAGACATACAATGGGAAAGCCCTACAGAATGTGCAGCACAGCAAGCACCAGTGCCCTTGACTGGGAGGCTGGCTGGCATGTTTGGTGAATAGGAAGCCAGCATGAATGGGCCAGCATGACAGGGAGAATGGATAACAAGACCAGGTGACGAGGGGGCCTGGGTACATGAGGATTTGCAGGGCACAGCAAAGCCTTAGGCTCAGACTGAGTGATCCTGGAAGGACTCTATGCAGAAGAATAGCAGCCTCTGATTCTGGTTAAAACAACTAGGTGGGAGGCCAGGCATCAAGTGGCTCACATCCTAGCTACTCAGGAGGCTAAGGTCTGAGGATTGTGGTTCAAAAGAGCCTGGACTGGAAAGTCTGTGAGACTTTTACCTCTCCAATCACCAAAAACTTGGAAAGTAGAACTGTGGATCAATTGATAGTGTGCTATTCTTGAGCACAAAAGCTCAGGGACAGTTCCTAGGCCCTGAGTTCAGGCCCCAGCATTGGCATCAAATAACCAAAAAACCCAAACAAACTACTAGATGGATGCTGTTGAGAGACATTGAAGAGAGAAACATAAAAGCACAGAGAACAGGAGGTGACTGCAGAACTCCAAGCTATTGATGGTGGTGCCTTGGTCCACAGCCTAGACTGGCAATGAGGGAGGAGAAAGGTGATCAGGTTCTGAATGCCTTACATGGTATAGCCGGGAGGATTTTCTGACAAATGATATTGATTGTGAGATAAAGAATGAGTGAAGGATGGATTTAAGATCTTTGCCTCTAGCAGATGGGAGCAGGATGGCTGGTAGGAGTGTGAAGGAATACATGCTGGGGATCAAGGCAGATATTCCATGTTGGACATGTTGGAAATGCCTGTTAAACATTCAAGTGAAAGGTCTGGTCAAATGGACACACACACACACACACACACACATCTATATTTTGAAATTATGGGAGAAGTCCAGGTTCGAGATATAGGTAGAACTTAAAGCCATAAGATATGAGTGTAGAAAATAGTAACAAAGAAAAAGATTCAATTACAGGGATAACAACAATAATATATCTGGGTATCAAATCTTATATGTAGGTGTTCATTTATCCCTTATATAAATACTGCATGGTCAGGTATAGTGATGTCTGCCTATAATCCCATACCACAAGCAGAAGTATGGGGATCAAGAGTTCAAGGCAAGCCCAGACAACATTAGCAATACCATGTCTCAAAACAAAAACAAAACCAACAACACAAGTGTTTCCATCCTGCTTCGATGCAGAAGAATCTGAAGTTGTTCTCTGGCCTACTGTACAGGTGTCTGACTGCAAGCATTTATTTCTTCCACAAACCTAATTTGCCTTCATCCCTTTTGTCTTCCCTTTTCATTTCTTTTTTTTCCACATAAAGTTTAATGTACACAACATTCTACTCTTTTCATCTCGAACTATTATCGCGGCCTCCTGATAAGATTTCTTTCCAGGGGACTCTTTGAACTAAAATCCATTTCTTTTTTGCTGGTCCTGGAGCTTGAACTCTGGGCCTGGGTACTATCTCTGAGCTTCTTTGGCTCAAAGCTAGGGCTCTATTACTTGGCCACAGCCCCATTTTCAGCCTTTTCTGAGTAGTTGCTTGGCGATAAGAGTCTTATGGCCTTTCCTACTGGAGCTGGCTTTGAACTGTGATCCTGAGATCTCAGCCTCCTGAGTAGCCAGGATTACAGGCATGAGCCACCCAGCTTGTACTCCATTTTTTAAAATCTTCCTACAAATAAAGCTGATTGGGTCACTTTCCTGCTTAGCTTTTCTAGGAATTCTCCATCCACTATAATCCAGCTTCTTTAGTGGGGTTTATGGAAGCTTTCACAATGTATCTCTGTTCTGCAACTCGGTTTCCTGTGTTGTTGCTTCATTTTTGTGCCTAAGTTGCTGGCACCTCCCATACTAATATATATATATATGTATATATATATACATATGCATATATACTATATATACTATAAATATATATTTTTAATTAATTCTTTCCTAGTATTGAGTTTGAACTCAAGGACTTAGAATTGCTGGGCTTGCTTGCTCATTTGGTGCTTTACCACTGGGGAACACATCCAGCCCCACTTTTTGTTTGTTATTTTGGAAATGGAGTTTCATGGACTTTATCTACTTGGGCTGACCCTGAACCTTGATCCTCTGGATCTCAGCTTCCTGAGCAGCTAGGATTACAGGTGTGAGCCACTGACACCCATTTGACTGACTTCAAGCAATATTGATTAGAAGATGTGATGGTGGGCACCAGATTCTCTGGCACATCTCAGAGGAAAGTTTTCTAAATATATATTTTTATTGTAAAGATACTGTACAGAGGGGTTACAGTTACATAAGTAAGGTAATAAGTACATTTTATATTGAACATTGTTACCCCTCCTTTGTTTTCCCCCTACCATCTCTTCCCTCCTTCCCTCCCCAACTCCTTCCTTCCCCCACCCCAAAGTTGTAAAGTTTGTTTTCAGCAAAGTGTCTTGTACATCTCAGTGTTACAATGGGTCAACCTGCATCCTTGTTTCAGCATTTTCTTGTTTATAAGTCAAGTCAGATAAAACAATTTCTCTTCTTTATGTAGTTGCTATGAATTTACTATTATATTAATGAATTTACTATTATATTGATTTACTATTATATTAATGAATTACTGTTATATTAATTAATATATATATTATCAAACATTTTCTGCATCTATCTGGAATCATAATTTCTCTTTTTAGCCAATCACTGGTTTATTTTCTTTATTTTAATTGTGACTGTTTTTAAATTTTTATTGCTTTTATAAAGGTGATATACAACTGGTTCATTTTTATTGCTAAATTAACTTTATATTTGTTAGTCTTTATGTTTTATTCTTTTACAAAATGTTTCTATCTGGCTGGTCACCTGTGATTAAAACAATAATCCTAGCAATTCCAGGAGGCTGAGATCTGAGGGTCACAGATCAAAACCCAGCCCTGGCAGACAACTCTGCTAGATTCTAATATCCAATTAACTACCAAGAAGCCAGAGTGGAACTGTGGCTCAAGTAGTAGAATGTTAGCCCTGAGCAAAAATGCTCAGTGACAGTGCCTAGGTCCAGAGTTCAAGCCCCAGGACTAACACCAAAGGGAAAAAAAAAGGCATCTATCTGGATTTGGCTCATTAATACTGTGTTTAGAACAAGGCTCTACAATTTTTGCAGCAGCTCTGGGAAGCACACTTTTTGATAGTTGGCTAAAAGCAACATGATGGTCAGAGTAAAGTTAGATTTCCACTTTGGTCTGGGATTAGGGTTTCTGCATGAATGACAAGGACCAGGGTGGAAGAGATGTCAAAATTTCTGTAGTACTGTAGGAAAATGAAATATTTTTATTAAAACTTTCATATTTGACACAAAATCCAGTACATATTCAGTATAAAACTGAAATATTAGTAGTGAAATAAACAACTACACTTACAAATAAACCTATATATGTTGTTTGATAGTTCACCTTACATGAAAAATAATGAATGAAAAGAGAGAAGACCTATGTAGTCCCCCAAATACCCCATTCAGAAACTTTGTTACACATCCATGTATGACACCTTTTCTGTGACTTTGATTAGGCCGAGATTGATGAGGACTGCCTTTTCCAATTCCAAATAATTCTCATAATCCAATTTCAATTCAGCTTCCATTTGTTCTTTTGACTTCTGATATATTTTCTATGAATAAATAAAGCAAGACATCCTTATAAATCACTGAAATCACTGATAACTGAGATGTGTGTGTGTGTGTGTGTGTGTATGTGTAGAGAGAAGGGGGGGCCAGAGAGACAGACAGAGAGAGAGAGGGAGAGGTTTGTGAGAGGCCAGGAATGTTAGGAGAGTAGTCTGTTGTACCTGGGAATGGCTATCTCTGATACTTCTCCCCAAGAGAAAGGAAAGAAAAAAGGGAAGGAGGGACGGAAAGAGGGATGGAAGATCCATTCTCTTTCAGTCTTCTTCCCCATAGCTTTGCCTTCCTTCTGTGGCCTGAAGGGTAAGTAACTGACTTGAGGCTGTAGAACTGTTTTGAAGCCCCTCTTTCCTTAGTCCATATAGAAGGGGAACTTGTGGGTTCATAAAGCAATGACTAGTTTCCCTAGCTTTAGTTTTCAGCTGTAATTCTAATTAGAAGGCTTTCTATCTTCTGTGCTGTTTAAGCTGTAATTACTGTTATCCTCTTATTAAGAGATGGAATGCATCTGGATTGGTTCCATATCTTGGCTATGATAAACAATTCTGCAGTGAACATGGTTGTGCTGGTGGCTTTAGTGTGGCCTTGTTTGTAGTCATTTGGGTAAAGGCCAATGGGATTGCTGGGTCCTAGGGGAGCTCTATGTTTAGTCTTTTGAGGAACCTCCATACTACTTTCCAGAGTGGCTGAACAAGTTTGCACTCCCACTAACAGTATAGTATCATTCTCTTTTGACCACATCCTTGCCATCATCTGTTGTTATTAGATTTCTCGATAATGGTCATTCTTACTGATCAACATGAACTCCAAGAACAGGAAACAAGAGGTTCTTATTATGTCCTGTATGTAGTTTGTTCTTTCTTTCTTTTTCTCTTTTAGTTCTTTGTACTCTTTGTCTTGTATATAAGTTTATCTGATCCCTAGAAGGGAAAGGGAACCACAGAAAAAGCAGGACAAAGGATGAACTCATGCAACAGTAATACTCATATGCCTCTATGTTGGAAATGAACTTTACAACTTGGGAGGAGGGGAGTAGGGAGGGGGTAAACCAGAGAAGATGAGGGATGGGGTAACAGTGTTTAAAAAGAAATGTACTCTTTACCTTACTTATGTAACTATAATCTCCCTGCTCATCACCTTTTCAATAAAGATTAAAGAGAGATGAGCTGCATCCAGTTGTGATGTTTGTGAGGGGCTGGGTTATGATTTCCCTGGGGTCTGTAGGTGAACGCCTCATCCCCCGCACCTGGAGGGCACTCATAAAGACCAACCTTGATGGAGGGCTGCGTAATCCTCACAGCCTCTACAATCACTCTAACAATGAAACCTTGATAGCACTTTCCATGTGCCAGTTACTGGCAAAGTGCTGTAAATATTTCAACTCACTTAATCCCTACCACAATCCTCTGAGGTTCTAAAAGTGATTGTTCTCCTTTCCCCCTTTATATGGAAACATTTTTTATTAATGTTAATTGTTTTTCCTCAGTGACCTTTCTCATGTTCCAAATGCAACAGAGGAGCCCTTTTCAATCCAGTTGTTTATCCATGGTTTGGTTCCAGGGGAAATTATGTAAGTAGCAGCTGTACTTAGAAGAAGGTATTCTGTTCAATGGAAATGATGTGAGGACAAGGAGGCAGAAACGCTTTGGAAAGTAAAAAGCATGACATAGTTTTAAGATAGGACTACTATAATTCTCAGTTGTCTGAAAAAAAATTCATATACAAATTCTATGTTGGGTTATTCACAATTCTACATGCACCCACTGACATGGACAGCTAGGAGCTGTTGCTATGTATGGAATTTAACATCAGTAACAATTGTGGATAAACTCAGGAGTTTCAGCCATAGTTTGTAAGTGTGGAAAACAAAGACTCCTCCCCCGCAAACCCAAAAATCAAGACCAATTGTTTGTAGCAGTGTGACACAATGAAAAGCTAATTGAACAATGCTTTTGAAAAGAATCTTCTTGCTTTTACTGCAAGAAATTAGTATTTATCAACAAGTTATAATGTTAATCTACTTGTGAACATCACGTGTTACAATATTTCCACACATTGATGCTTTTAATGGAGACCTAGTATCATTGGGGGTGTATTTGTAGACCAGAAGGGTTCCATGATGGAACAATGAAGACAAGAGGGTGAAGGAGGGGTGAACAGATGAGAAACAGAAACTTAACTAACATGACCTTAAGTGAGAATGAGAGAACTGAACTCACAGAATATTTAAAGCCGATCTGTAATGGGTAAGAAAACACAACAACATTTTAGGACATACATATATATATATATATATATATATATATATACACACACACATGTATGTATATGTATACATACATATATATGTGTCCTAAAATGTTGTGTATGTATATGTATACATACATATATATGTATGTATACATATACACACACACACACACACACACACACACATATATATATATAGCAACTGGGCAGAGAGAATGGGAAGGTTGTGGGCTTCAGAGGTTTAGGTTTCTTTTTAGTTGAGTTAAAAGCTCATGCATCCTATCCCCAATTCTCTCAACCTCCACAGTGCCAGTACGTTACCTCCTAGTAAGACTCCTCTCTCTGACCCATTGAACATTACACTTACGGTAGCTTCCATCAGATGATAGTTGACTGTCAGGTTTTCTAACTTTGAAATTGGCATGGATGGTAGCTCCTAAAGCTTGGCCAAGATTGGAGCATTATTATGTGTCTCATAGCCTCTAGGTGGCAGAGTAGGGCTCTGACCCACAGAGTATTAGTCTATTAGTATTGCCTGCATGAATGCATTATTCACTAGCTATAAAAATTCTATAGAATGACACGTTGAACTTTTGAATTACTGTAGGCACATTAAAGAACTTTGAAATGACAGCAAATCATTGAAACTTGAGCAGGATTGAATCTCAGTGAACGGGTAGTTCTCACAGTTGGTGAGCTAGGAAATCAGATAAATACTCTCTGCACTCTCATAAAAATAGGAGAAAAGCTTAGCATCTGTGGCTCATGCCTGTAATCCTAGCTACTCAGGAGCCTGAGGTCTGACCATCGAAGTTCACAGTCAGCCAGGGGAAGGAAAGTACATGAGATTTTTTTATCTCCAGTTAACACCAGATAGCTAGAAATGGAGCAGTGGCTCAAAAGTGACAGAGCACTAGTCTTGAGCACAAAAGCTCAGGGATAGTGCTTAGGCCTTATATAAAGCCCCAGGATCAGCAATAAAACAACCAAACCAAAAAAACCCAGGGGAAGAATGTGTATAGAACCCATAGAATAAGACAGACAGGCCCATTGCCATTGAAGAAGGGGATTGCAAGGTGCTCTGTTGAACTTTTAACTTACAATTTTTTTCTTCTCCATTTCTAGCTCCATTTCTCTCTTCTCTGCCTCACGAATACTTTTGCGTTGCTGCACATATTCCAGCTGCTTCAGTTCTCTTTCAAAGTAGTAGTTAACACTTGATAACTGTTAGAAATAGAGGCAGGATGACCCACAGGGATGCCTTCCCATCCATACCCCCCACCTCCCCCAACCCCTATGGGCTTCACAAGGCTCTGTTCCAATCCCTGCTGCTTGTACCTGCAGGTCACCATCTTCCCAATCCACTGATTGTTAACTACTGAGCCTCTTTCTAATCATGAGATAGCTTTACCTACTTGAAGTAATTTTTTTTCCTTTTGCTGGTCCTGGGGTTTGAACTCAGGGCCTGGACAGTCTCTGAGCTTTTGTTCTCAAGTCTAGTGCTCTACCACTTTGAGCCACAGCTCCACATCCAGTTTCTGGTGGTTAATGGAAGATAAAAGTCTTATGGCCTTTCCTGCCTGGGCTGGCTTCAAACTACAATCTTCAGATCTCAGCCTCCTGAGTAGCTAACTTTACAGGCATGAGCTACTGGCACCTGGCTTACTTGAATTGTGTGTGTGTGTGTGTGTGTGTGTGTGTGTGTGTGTGTGTGTGTGTTCAAGTCTCAGATCTGCCTCCTGAATAGCTAGAATTACAGGTTTTAGCCTCTGGTACCCAGCTTAAACACACTTCTAAAGGTATTATCTAGATCGTATAAATCCTCAAAGCCAAAAATTACTGACCTCATTGGTAGATGGGTGACTTAATGTCCAAGGAATTTCTAATATATGCAGCGTTCCATAATAATCAGCTATGGCTATAAACTGTTGCTTAGCTGAAAGGTTTTAAAAAATGAGGAGAAACAGAAAGTCACTTAATAAGTTCAATATGAAATGTGCTTTCTTCTGTCATTTCCCAAAGGACTTGCTGTGATTACAATGCTTTTGGAGTTAGTCCCCAACACATAACTGGCTCATGGAAACATTTAAGTAGTCATTTTTTCCAGAGGATGAGATGATGGCTAGGATTCTGAACCTTTAGTGTCCCTGCCATTCAAACCAGGCCCTGCTGGTGTCTGTATGGAAAGTGGCAGGGAGCTCAGCCTCTCTGTGGCTGGGCTTACAGGCTGACCTAGAGGAGAAGCCAGGAGAACACATGGAAAAATTTCCTAAGACACGCCATGAGGCACCGTTCTCCAGAGCAGCCAGAGCTATCGAATACCATGATGTACATACGGCTGAAACCCACAGCCAGGACCACAGGGTTCTTGAAGCATTTCAAAAGGGAAAATATGCAAAGTGCTTCAGAATTGTAATTTTCTCTCGTCCTAGAAGATGATGGATGTTTCCCTATTCTCATTTTCAGAGGGTTCAAACTGCTGGGATCTGGGTTCATAATCCTTATAGGTACAAACAGTGTTTTGTAGCACAGATGGAAAAGAGACATTTTGGTGACACAGATAACTGGGTAGTCACTAGAATGTGACACTCCAGGAACTCTGAAGACAGAACTTCCACATCTAATATTCCTTTTCTTTTCCTTTTCTTTTTCTTTTTTTCTTCTCAGTTGTGGGGCTTGAACTGAGGGCCAGGATTTGGTCTCTGTGCTCTTCTGCTCAAGGCTAGTGTTCTACCACTTTGAGCCACAGCTCCATTTCCAGTTTTTGAGAGGTTAATTGGAGACAAGACTCTCCTGGGGACTTTTCTGCCTGGGTTCACTTTGAAGTGTGATCCTGAGATCTCAGCCTCCTGAAGTAGCTAGGATTACAAGTTTGAGCCACCAGTGCCTAGCCATATCTAATGTTTCTGAGAGAGAAATGAATAGAATGACAGTTTCAGGTCTAGAAACAAAGAAAAATCTCTTTAATAAAAAGCAGCCCAGAGCCGGTGGCTCACACCTATAATCCTAGCTACAAAGGAGGCTGAGATCTGAGGATCGTGGTTCAAAGCAAGCCCTGGCAGGAAAGTCAGTGAGACTCTCATCTCAATAAACCACTAGTAAACCGGAAGTGGTGTTGTGGCTCAAGCGGTAGAGCGCTCGCCTTGAGCTGAAGAGCACAGGGACAGCGCCCAAGCCAGAGTTCAAGCCCCATGACCGAAAGAAAAAGCAGAAAAGTTTGGGTTGACAATGGAGGTACAATTTGGTAAAATACAAAAATTGAGACAAAGGAAATGAATGCCTTTTCCATCACATCTGTGAATGAATGCTTGTATTGTCAAGCATTGCTTGCTCTCCTCCTTAATCTAGATTAAAATTTAGAGAGCTATAGAATTCCAGAGAACCGTTTGATCTCATGGGAAGAATTGCTTGATATGCCCCTGAGGGAACTACAAAATGATAGTATATTGGAAAAAAGCTCACTTACAATGAAAAGTTAAAAAAATAAAAACGATTCTCTATGGAAAAGAAACAGCGAAAATTTTGGTGTCATTCTATGTGACTTGGAGATGATAAAAAGGATGTTTCCAGTGTGTGATTCAAGATCATGCCCCCGAAATAATTGTCGACAAGTCAAAAAGGAGAGAAGCTCAGGGCATAGCCAAGATTTGAAAGTAAGGGCAAAGAGGAAAGCAGAAGAATAGAAAGGGAAGAAAGAAAGACAAGGAAGGGGAAGGGAAAGGGGAAAGGAAAAAAAGAAAAAGGAAAAGAAGGGAAAGTAAAGAAAAGGGTGGGGGCAAACACAAACCTCTCAGCAAAAACATTGCAGCCAAGATGTCAAGATGTTCCCAAGTTACCCAAAATGATATAGTTCATTTGATTAGAATGAACATACCAGAATAGGTCCAGGGTTTGATGTAGGTGATCATCGTTAAGCAAATACTTTGTGTCTGGGCTGGTTCATGGGTTTTCTCAAGTAGGTCCCAGATATCAATATTTCCATCTTCTCGGCCAATATAGAAAACTCCGGGCCTTGTCAGAGACCAGTGTCCTGAGGTGTACCTTTTTGGTGCACAGCATGACCGAAGGAGGGGTCCAGTCTTTAAACAGAAATATAAAAAAGAGAAAAACTGAAAGCTTTTTGTTATTACCTGAAACTCTTGATGATTTTCTGTAAGTATAACTCAGATGGCCATGATTATTTAACAAATTTATCCCTCTAGAAAATCTTATTTCCTTCTGTTGTGGGTATAAATCTCTATCTATCTATCTATCTATCTATCTATCTATCTATCTATCTATCTATCTATCTATCTATCTATCTATCTATCTATCTATCTATCTATCTATCTATCTATCTATCTATCTATCTATCTATCTATCTATCTATCTATCTATCTATCTATCTATCTATCTATCTATCTATCTATCTATCTATCTATCTATCCTATCTAATCATGCCAGTAGTGGAATTTGAATTTAGGGCTTTTGTACTTTTGCTTGACTTCTCTCAAAGTTGACACTACCACTTAAGCTACACTTACACTTCTGTGTTCCAGGAGTTTTTTTTTTGTTGTTTTTTGGTTAGTCATGGGGCTTGAACTCTGGGCCTGGGCACTGTCCCTCCGCTCTTCAGCTCAAGGCTTTAGCGCTCTACCACTTGAGCCACTGCATCACTTCTGGCTGTGGTGCTAAGGAATCGAACCCAGGGCCTCATGCATGTGAGGCAAGCACTCTACCACTGAGCCACCTTCCCAGCCCCTGTTACAGAGTTTTTATATAAGGAAAATTCTTTTACATACAAGATTATAAGGCAATTTCACTTATACTTTTCCTTTGCTTTCGGATATTGGTTTCCCATGGAAATATCTATGGTTACCAATAAAGCTAAAGAAGTTTGTCAATTCCATCTATGAGCTATGTGTTACAAATCAACAGCAATTCTCAATACATAACTTCAAATGGGTGTATCTGATGGTTTATAAATGTATCTACCATGGGACAGTTTGTTAATTTGGGGAAGTTGGAGTTCGCTTTCTACGCAGTGTGGTTTCATCTACCTCCCCCCCCCCCCCCCGGGGGGGGGAGGGTGGTCAAGTGTCTGCTTACATCTGTAGCAACTTATCTAAACCATGGAACTGGGTCTCCCCTCCTCACCCCCCCACCCCTGACCCACAGCCCATCAGAAAGATGGAAACTTCCATGTGGTAGGGAAGAGTTGTAGACTCCTGAGAGGTGCCAGTTAGACTTTCTGGCCACTTCCCCTAGCTCCTACAGTTTCTACCAGGAACCAGGTTCTTGTCTACCACATAGCCTTTGGACACATTTGCCTGAGTTTATTTTTTGTTTGCCTAACTACAAAGCTTGCTCCTCACAAAAAAAGAAAGAAACAGACAAAAAAAAAAAGAACATAGAGAAGTACATTGATAGTCTATTTCTTGATGGGTATGTAGTTTCCCAATTTTATATGACAAATTTGTTCTAATATTCACATACATAATTCTTTTTTTTTTTTTTGCCAGTCTTGGGGCTTAAACTCAGGGTCTGGGTGCTGTCCCTGAGCATTTGTGTTCAAGGCTAATAATTCTCAGCTGCTTTGAGCCACAGTGCCATATCCAGTGTTTTGGTAGTTAATTGGAGATGAGTCTCAAAGATTTTCCTGCTGGGGCTAGCATTGAACCACATTCCTCAGTTCTCAGCCTCCTGAGTAGCTAAGATTACAAGTGTGAGCCATCAACACCTGGCCAATTCTTTCTTGTTTAAAAAAAAATCAGAGGGACACCAGTGGCTCATGCCTGTAATCCTAGCTACTTAGGAGTCTCAGGTCTGAGGATCCCAGTTCAAAGCCAGCCTGGGCAGAAAAGTCCATGAGAGTCTCATCTCCAATAAACTACTCAAAAAAGCTGGAAGAGATGCTGTGGCTCGAGTGGTAGAGTGCTAGTGTTCAGCACAGAGAGGCTCAGGGACAGACCCCAGGCCCTGAGTTCAAGCCACAGTACCAGAAAAAAAAATTCAGAATAAGAGCTGTAGAGAGGCATATTTAAGGCAATAATTATGTATATTCCACACACATGTGCACACTTTAGCTTTTGACAATCTTAAATTTCTCACCAAAAGGACATAGCAATTTATGCAGCTACCAAAAGCACTGTTATTCCCACATCTTTGCTTCACTGGGATTTTATCATTCTTTCTGTTTTTGTTTTTTTTTTTTTTTGGCAGTTTGGCTTCTATCTGCCTGGACTTAGGCCCTCTCCTAACCCTAACTGTCTCATAGTCCTAAACAAACTCTTCCTCCTGTCTCCCTTTTCCCATGTACACCTCCTCCCAGCTATGATCTGCCTTGTGAGGAGGCCTCTCATTTCTTCTTTTTAGGTCTGTCAAAATGTTCCCAGTACCAAAGAAAAGATGACAGACCCAGTGTTTCCCCTTGGGATTGCATCTAGTAGTCAGAATCCCATCTTGTATTTTAAAGGGAGCAGAAAAAAAACACCCCACAAGTCAAGTCAACTGCCCACAGTATTTATAAGAAAAGACTATGGTTTTTTAGAAAACAAGGGACTTGTTATATTATTTACTTCCCGTAGGAAAGAAAAGCAAGTGATTGCATTTTCAAAAGGCTTACACAGTAGTTCTGCTGACAAGCTGGAGCCTAGACCATCTGTTCTAATTTCTCTTAATAAAAAAATACCTGATGGTACTGTTACATTGTACAGCTATTGTTCTTATAGTCTTTCTCAATAACAAAGGACCACACACCCACTCCTTTAACTTGCAGTAAACTTACCATAATATCTTCTTTCCAGATGGCCAAATTCCACCCTCCGATTGTGAGGATAATATCGTTGTAGAAAGGCGATCTTTGAACAGTATGGACAGCTCCATCATGAATGGCATACAGGTTCGCTGGCTTCTTTGCTGTTGGAAGGGCCACACTGGGGTGAATCAATCTGTCAAGGGATGGCTCTCTTTCTTTATATGGGAAATCCCAGGTCACTTTTCAGGATTGGGATTGGAGGCCAGCTCACTTAAAGAAAAAAAAGCTTGTGCAACCCTTTCTCAACTAATACCTGTTTTTACCTACAGTCCTAGCTCCATAGGAAGCACAGGTAAGAGGGCTATAGTCTGGGATGGCTGAGACATAAATGTGAAAAATAGCGAAAGCAAAAAGGTCTGGGAACATGGCTCAAGCATTAGTATGCCTGCCTACCAAATACAAGGCCCTGAGTTTGAACTCCAGTATTGAAATAAGAAAAAAAAAAGGTTAAGATTGTTAAGTTTCATGTGCCTCTATGTAGCACAGTTAAGAGTTTTGTTTTTAAAGCCTCTAAGGTAAAGAAAAATACATTTTAAAAGTTTAGCTCTTCTGGATTAATAAAAGGTTAATTTTCCTTCAATCAGTTCCTTGCCTGGAAGAGAGCATAGAAATATATACTTTTAAGACTTTCTTCAGTGATCTTGAAGATTCCTGGTAAGGCACAAGGTTGCCCAGAAACCGGCAGCTCTCTCCTTGCTGCTGCTCTTGTCACTAGTTATCAGATAAATAGGAAAAAAATTCATCTTGTTTGTGATTCCCTCCCCCCCCCCCCAGCCGCATGAAAGCAGTTTAAGAAGCTGTCTGTAGGAGGAGATGGAGCTTCATGAAAATTTCAAGAGACCAAGAGGACTTAAAAGTCTGCCTGAGGTACAACCAAACCATGTTATCAAGTGCTCAGCTCATGTCCCAAAGGTGTTAGAAAGACAAATACCATGTAATATAGTGTCTAGCATAAAATAACCATAGAGTATGGAATAAATGGCTACTTAAGCAAGCATAAAAGAAGTTAACTGTAATTTATTATACCCAGTATCTAATTGTGAGTTCAACTTTAAGTCATAGAAATGGAAAATGGAAAATGAGTCTCAATTCTGTGCATCCAGGACCCTCGTTGGGGTCATAGTTCTCTTTTGATGTTGCCTTTGAGTTTGTAGCCAGGGGATGCAATAGAAAAAAAAAAAACAGAAGTGTGTTTGCTTCCAGATTAAAATGGCTATCCTGCAGGTATGACTGACAAACTGTCTCACATTAAGGGCAAATTTTAGTCTCTGAAGCCAGCTCAGTCAAGTGAAGAAGCCACAGCTGTCTTTGTAAGGCTGTGGCTCTGGCCAAAGATTCCTGCAGGCCACTCATTCTCCATTCATCCAATAACTTCCAGCCTGACCAGGTCCCTTCTGCAAACCAAGTAGTGCATGCTACCACGTAGTAGTGTTCTGCTTCGGGGCATGCCTTGTCTGGCTGGTAGTTCATGAAGCTACTGCTTCCTTTGCATAATGTTACTCTGAACTTCAAACTGTAGTTAAATGTTTTTTATACCATGGTAAAAATTGAAGCTTTAAAGTAAGTAGTTTCAACTGTTATGAACCACTAGGCTCTGAGCCTATTAAAGACAGGGAGCTTTGTTTATGGGGTCCTGTGTTCCTGGGTGTGACCCTATACCTATGCTTAAGTGCCCAGAGTCCAGATCCAGGGAGCAAACTTGTCAGTTATTTTATATAGAAATTAAAAGTGTCTCATTAATTTAAACATCAGAAAAGTTAGTACTCATCAAATTTTGGTGTGAAATTATATTAGCAGACTAATAACCTTTGTGGGTTTTTATTTGTGAGATTTTTATATGTATTTATAGTAAGCTCAAGGTGACAACCATGCTGCTTAGTAAAAGACTTCACTTTTTTTTTTTTTTTTTCAGTCGTGTGGCTTGAACTCGGGGCCTGGGCACTGTCTCAGAGCTTTTATTTTTCTCTCAAGGCTAGTGTTCTACCACTTTGATCCACAGCACCACTTCCAGTTTACTGGTGGTTAATTGGAGATAAGAATCTAACCAGACTCTCCTTCATGGGCTGGCTTTGAACCCCAATCCCCAGATCTCTGCCTCATGAGTAGCTAGGATTTTAGGCATGAGCCACCAGCACCTGGCAGAACATTTTATTAACAGTACTTACATACTTAATTCACAAGACTTACATATCAATCGACCAGTATCAGGATCTCTTTCCAGTCTCCAGTCTGTATACATAACTTCGCCTTCCTGGAAATATTAGTTTTCAAGTGAATACAATGACAACTTCAGAGATGAAAGCTCTCATGTCTTTTCTCTGAGACTTATTGCAACAAAACAATATAAAGCAACAGGTCAATTTAATCACATGACAATCTAATATAACAGGAGGAGGAAAGTCTCAGAAACATTACTTGATTTTATAATGGCTGGCTGGGGAGATAGGCCACGGTTCGGCAAAGGCCCCAGTTATGGCTTTTCCAAGTGCTGATGTACCAGAGGGAACTGCTTCATCTCATTCAGAGGTGTGTTTGCACCATGGAACGAAAGTCAGGACTTTATCAATAAAGACTTGTAGGATCAGAGGAAGCCTGAGAACGCTTGTGTACTGTGATAGTAATTACCTTTTAAAGCTGAGAACAGGAAAGATGAAACTTAATCTCAAGTAAACATGTGCTATATAGTCTATTTCTGCCTTATGATCATTTCAAGGCAAGAGGAAGCAGAAAGACCTGGTGTAAAGCAACAGAAGAAAGCCAGGCAAAAGGGTTAGAGACGGAACTGTTAGCCGGGAAGGATCCTAACAGGGACCACTGAACCACAGAGGCGGGAGAGGAAGCAGCCCCACACCCTCATCGTAATAAAGAGAACACGGACGGTTAAAGGGCTGACTCAAAGTCACTCAGCAGCAGAGTCCAATTCTCTCTACTGCCTCCCATCCCCCTCCTCACCCCCACTGGTCGATAAGAGAAAAACATGATTCTGCCTGATCCATCTGATGGTCTCCTTTCGGTGAACCTTAGAGAGGGAGATAAGAAAACACTGATTCATGAACAGTGAAGGATGAGCTCAGTGGTGGTGCCACCAGCTAGGGAAGAGAGAGAATAAAGGAGTGGTTCCAGTCAAGATAATAAAAAGTTCTGGTGCCGGATGATGAGAATACCTGCATAACAATAAGCATGTACTTTATTCCCCAGAGTGGTGTACTTATACATAATACTTTTATGACTGGGCATTGGTGGTTCATACCTGCAACCCTACTACTCAGGAGGCTGAGATATGAAGACTGTATGTAGTTTGAAGCCCATCCAGGCAGAAAACACTGTCAGTCTCTTATCTCCAATTAACCAGAAAAAAGCTGGAAACAGAAGTATGGCTCAAGTACCAGCCTTGAGCAAAAAAGCCAAGCAAGGATGAGGCCCTGAGTTCAAGCTCCAGTACTGGCACCAAAAAAGAAAAAAGGAGGGAAAGGAGAAGAAAAAGGTAGAAGAAGAAAGAAGAAAGAGGAGGAAGAGGAGGAGGAGAAGGAAGAGAAGGAGGAGGAGGAGGAGGAAGAGGAGGAGGAGGAGGAAGAGGAGGAGGAGGAGGAGGAGGAGGAGGAGGAGGAGGAGGAGGAGGAGGAGGAGGAGGAGGAGGAGGAGGACATAGTATTTTATGTGCATTGAAAAATATTCAAAAAAACCTCATTGTGAAATGCAAGTTGGTAGTGTCCCATTGTTTACTACATGAAATTCTAATTACCTAGTAGCAAAGGGTCTTCTGTATGGGCCTGTAACTCAGTAATCTAGGCATATCTTGTGCTTTGCACTGGGCTCTTCCATTATCTTTAGACAGATACTTGGACTTTCATAATTCCAAACTGTTGTTGAAGCTATTAGTTCTGCTTGGAACTCTTCTCTCCCTCTGACTTTTCTAGTCTCAGTTCAACTTTGAGTGTCCAGTCAGCATAAGGGTCAATTTTCCCAGCCTCCCACTTCCTGTCCTACCATGCCAGTGTTGCCATTTATCATGCTGTTAAATGTTTTGTTCCTTTACTTGGGAAAAATGTGCCTTGAGGATGGAGGGATTGGGCTGTGTGTCTCTGGTACCAGGGCTGAGCCTTGTGCCTGGGAGGTCTTATGCTCTCCAGAGCAGTGGCATTGATCAAGCTCAGAATAGCAAAGGGAATAAAAATTGCATTTTATGAGATTGAGCTAGGACATCTTTCCTGGTGTCTTGGCTAGGAGAAAACCCCTTTCCCTATGACTGTGGATGAAGTTCTAATTCTTATTTTCTTCATCTGTAAAATGGAACAATAATAATATCAACCTCACAGGATTACTTGAGGTTAAATGTGATATGATTGATTTGGGAGGTAAAGTGGCATAGACCCTGATACAGAGCAATGTCCAATCAGATAAGATGAAAAATGGCCATCATTATCATTATATCTAATTGATATTTGTCTTTCAAATTGAATGAGATTTTACTGTCTTTCTACTAGTTGATACTAGATTAAGGTTGATACTTGCCTTAGGTGTTAGTTGATTAACCTAAAGTTGGTATTCATCTTAGGTATTAGCCTAACCAAACAAAATATCTTTAATATTTAGGATTTTTTCACAGTTAATTTATTTGATAAATAGTTTCAGGTTGGCCTATAGATTATTAATACAAAGCATCACTAAGTTTATAGCTTTTCCCATATTTGTTAAAGAACCATGTGCGCACTATGTTGAAAACGAACTTTACAACTTCGGCGGGATGGGGGGGGAGTGTAGTTGTGGAGGTGGGAGGGAAAGGATGGTAGGGGAAACAAAGGAGGAGGCAACAGTACTCAATAGGAAATGTTTTCATTACCTTGCTCTTGTAACTGTAACCCCTCGGTACAGCATTTTTACAATAAAAACATACAAAAAAAGAGAACTGTGAATCTATGAAATATTGTGGTTAAAACTCTTAAGTGCAAATTTTGTAAAACTTTCAAGGAACAAACGTGAACAACAGATGTTTTAACTATATATTTTCATGTAAGGAAGTATTGACTTTAGAAGCAGATAATTCTGTTTACCTCTGTTCCCACAAAGAATTTTGTGCAGAATTCGTCTATTGGCTTGAGAATATTGGCCAATCCTGCTTCTAGATTTTGGTATGGCTTTGTTTCTTCTATCTTCATTATTTTAGGCTGGACTAATCCTTTGTCTTTCAGAAGGGTTTAGATAAAAGAAGCATAATATTTGTGGTAAAATATAAATTATAGATTATATATGATATACTTTCTGTCCCTTCACTACACACACACACACACACACACACACACACACACACACATCTATCCCAATCTTTTCCTTCCCAGTGTGGCTGGCTTAGAGCCAAGCATTTTTAGGCTCCAACCTAGCAGGAGAACCCTTCTTTTTAAATCTAATGTAAAACATATTTTAGCTAACCACGCAAACAGCACAGGAGCATAGTTAATCTGGGTGTAGGAATGCAAGCACCATCAGGAATTTGTTGATTTAAAAATATTTAATGTCACATTATTATTATTATTATTGAATTGTTCCTAGGGCTTGAACTCAGAGCCTGGGCACTGTCCCTGAGAATTTTGCTCAAGGATAGCACTCTACCACTTGAGCCACAGCTCTGGCTTTTCTGGTGCTTAATTGGAGATAAGGGTCTCACCAACTTTCCTATCCAGGCTGGCTTAGAACTATGATCCTGAGATCTCAGCCTCCTAAATACCTAGGATTACAGGTGTGAGCCACTGGTGCCTGGCTTGGTGTCACCTAATTTCAAAATGAAAGGTTTTATGACCTAAAGTTAATAAACATTACTTATTTAAGCTTTGGAAAACAGAAAAAAGCATGGCTAAATGGATTGTGTGTATGTGTTTGTGTTTTGATGTTGGGGCTTGAACTCAGGGCTTGGATGCTGTCTCTTTGCTTTTTCATAATATTCAATGAACATATGTAAAAATGGAACTAGGTAAATTGAGGAAATGGGTGGGGTTGGGAGAGATGGGGAGAGCAAGGAAATGGGTGACATTGATCAAGATGAATTGTTCTTAGAGACTGGCATATTGAAAGGAAACCCTTTTCTACAGCTACTTATACATAATAAAAATTAAAGAAAAGCATGAATAAAAAAGCACAAATGACCAGGCAGTGGTGGTTCACTCCTGTAGTCTAAGCTATTCCAGAGGCTAAGATTGGGATAATCACCATTTGAAACCAACTCAGACAAAAAAGTCCTCTAGACTCCTTCTACAATAAACTAGCAAAAAGCCAGGTTTGGAGGTGTGGCTCAACTGGTAGCGCACCAGTCATGCAAGCAAGTTGAATGAAAGCTCTAGGCTCTCAGTGCAAGCTTTGGTGCAAGCAATAAAATAAAAAGAAATAAAATGTTATAGCTCCCAGGATAACCACTACTAAAACATTGGTATTTTCCCTCTATTGACTTATGTATGAATATACATGAACATATTTTTATAAAACTTGGATCAAATTCTATTACTTTGTGTCTAAGCTTTGTGTCTTGCTCTTCTGTTCTTTTAAAGGTATGTCTCAAACATTTTTTCCAGGTCACTTTACTAGTTTTCAAAAATACAAAAAATACAAAATTTCTAAGAACAATAACAGCCTTTTGGTACATTACCTATGGAAAAATGCCAGAATAGTACACATCTGCCCAAAACAGACAAACAAAAACTCAAACAAGATAAAAACACTTTTACAATATTAATATATGTTTCACTAAAAAAAACCCTTTTAACATGATCCTGGAAAAAAGCAAAAATGATTGTTATAATTTATTTGGTTTTGTCAACTAGTGCTACTCAGGAGGCTGAGATCTGAGGATGAGTGTTCAAAGCCAGCCTGGGCAGAAAAGGCCTGTGAGATTCTTATCTCAATTTAACCACCAGAAAACTGGAAGTGGACCTGTGGCTCAGAATGATAGAGTACTAGCCTAGAGTGAGAAAGCTCAGGGACAGTGCCCAGGAAAAGACATTAAAAACAAGTAGCAAAACCAGCCAAACATGTAGCTTTTTAAAGGAACAAGATCTATAAATAACAGTCTTATAAGGTGTAAGTTAAGATTTCAGTGAATACCTAAACACATTTAATCATATTATTCTTATGAAAAGATGTTATTTACAATACATCTAGGAAAAGCAAACGAAATTCATGTATTTAGTATATAAAGCTAAAATCATTAATAAAATCAGAATTTGTGTTCGTTTCAATGTTTGATTTTCTATTTTTAGAATAATGTAAGTATAAGTAAATATAGTAGTGGAATAGAGCACATAAATAAGCTATAAATATATGGACATTAGAAATTTATACTAAAAATATCTACTCAAGAGGTTCAAGAACAGAAACTTTGGTGAACTCTGGTTTAACAAGGGAAGACAAGAACCTAATCTATACACTTAGCACAGATAATGAAAAATTACAAATGTAAGATATGTTGTAAAGGAAGACATAATTAGTCAGAGTGAGAAACTGCAAGTGTCTTTGAGACTTCAAACCAGATCATCAACTTCAGAATATACATACTCACCCACGGTTCTGCATTGCTAAAAAAAGAATATATAACTGGCCCTGAAGGCCATTCCAAAAGGAAAATTCTGAAATGACTTAGAGCAAAGACCTCCTCCTTAAAACAAATGTTTCTTAAAGTTCTGGAGTACTTCATGAGGACACTAAATTCATGGTCCTAAAATGGCAGAAAAGGAATGAGTAGCCCTCTGACACTAGATGGCGACAAAGCAATTGTTTGCAGTATGAACGAAACTCCTTGCTGGTGTCTTTAGAACCCCAAGGTAGGGGCACAAGTGGTTTTTTTCTTTCTTGCTATTGTTTCTAACATATTTATAAGGTACCAGGTGATTTTTTGGTTGTTACTTTGTATGTTTCTCCCCCACGGTATAATCCCTGTTTTCACTGCATTTGATATAGGTATAATTCAGGGAGGAGGAGGGAAAAAACAAAATGTTAAATAGGGATACAGGTTGACCCATTGTAACAATGAGATGTACAAGACTCTATGTTGAAAAACGAGCTTTATAGGCAGGGGGTGGGGGGAGGCGGGGGTGGGAGTGGGGTCTGGGTGAGGAAGTGTAGTTGTGGAGGTGGGAGGGAAGGGATGGTAGGGGAAAAACAAAGGGATGGTAGGCAACAATGCTTGATAAGAAAAGTACTCATTACCTTGCTCATGTAACTGTGACCCCTCCGTACAGTATTTTCACAATAAAAAACTTATTAAAAAAAGTTTTAGTGTTTGTGGAAATCTAAAAGCATGTCTACTCATCTTATGAACTGACTGAGACAAAGTGACATTCTTTAGTAAACATTCAGAAAGTCATGCTGTCCAACAAGATTAGCATTCATTTGATGGAGTGTATTCCTACTAGATGACATGCTGCCAGCTGCTTATTTTTTGTTGGTACCTCTTGAATGTATGTAAATATATACTTTACATAGCTTAGTGTCTATGGTACCAAAATATTAGCTCCTTGAAAGTAGGGACTTTGCTTCTCCACAGCTGTATCCTTCAGAGCGTAGGATTTGCAGGAATTCAATAAATACATGTTGAATGAACTCAGGCACTCTAATTAACTAGAAAAGAGCTGGAAGTAGAAGTGTGGCTCAAGTGGTAGAGTGCCAGCCTTGGGTGCAAAAGCCAAGCAAGAGCTTGATGCCCTGAGTTCAAGCCTGAGTACTGGCACACAAAAAGTAGGGATATGTTATATGATATGCATATGTTATATACATGTATATATCACATACATATGTGCTCAATAAATGTAAAATTGAATTCTGTTACATCTTTTGAATATATAAGCAGTTTTAATGTATTGGCTATAGTTATTATAACCATTATAAAGTTCCATCTTAGAGATACTGATTTTCTGTATTCCTTTTATGAATTAGACTCTTTCAGCAAGTGACTCACCTTAAGATATAGACACAGTACTTAAACTATTAGGTGCCTTTTACAACAGGCAGGTGGTTACCTTGTGTTCTGAAAAGAATATGGTCTTCGTTCATGCTGACCTTGGTTGGGCAGTGGTCTAAATTTGTTTCACCCTTAGATAATTTTATCTTTTGGAAGAACAGAAAAGATATATCTGTAACTTTGCCTTTTAACACTTATTATTGCCTGTCTTTTCTGCTCCCGGATTGTAGGAAGCCCATGGGCCTCTCCATCCTTCCCCCACTTCCCTGTTAGTTTCCCAGGGAAGCACTAACTCATATTTCTAAAACCCTGTCGCCACAGGAAATGTTCTGGGGCATATTCATAAATCCCAAAGTCTCATGTGATGTTTTCTTTCTGCAATAGTCTTATATTCAATTAGATTCCATAAGATATCCTAATAGGTTCTTTTGGTTTGTTTTGTTTTGCTGGCCTTGGGCTTGAACTCAAGTCTTGGGCACTGTCCTCCAGCTTCTTTGGCTCAAGGCTAGTACTCTATCATTTGAGCCACAGCACCATTTCCAGGTTTTTGTGGTTAATTGGAGATGAGAGGCTCATGGACTTTCCTGCCCAGGCTGGCTTAGAACCACAATCCTTAGATCTCACTTTCTCAGCTAGGATTACAGACATGAGCTACTGGCACCAGGCCTATGCAATAATTCTTAAATGTTTTTGTTTATTTATTTTACTTATTCATAACTCAGTAAATATTACCCCAGAAAAATTTTAATATCCCTTTTTAAAATTCTTTCCCAGCTACTTTAGAAATATTCTTAGTGCTTTTTCTGCAAATAATTATTTTGATGAGCAACTATGTAATTTATCCTAGTATGATACTATAAATTCACAGGAAAGAAAAGTGTTACATTTGGAATTAAAGTTCAACATTCAAAAGAAAAAAACCTATTCACATTTTACATACATTCTATTCTTAACCAAATGGTTCTCTAGGTAAGTTGCTTTTCTTCAAGTTCTATGATTCAAGATAAAGACAAATTCTCAGTTCTCACATTTTCAGTTCTATTTGGTCAGACGTAATTTTTACTCTTGATAAGTAAAATGTACAGAAAAAAGAAAGACCAATTTTTCTGGGCTAACCTGAGCACAAATCAATTTTCAAATAACCAAAGTGTAATTGAATAATTATACAAACCAATTGTAAAATTTGGCTTGCTTATATGTACAAGATCAATCTCAAGTTCACAATGATTTTGATTTCTGGTTTGGTCTGGGCAGTATCAAAATAAATCCTCCACTAAGAAATTTATTCATTGATTAAACTGTAAGGTGGTATATATGTGTGGCTATTTATGTTCGATGCATAGTGCACGTCAGCAAGAAGGCTGGAATGGATTCATTTTACTTACCCTAGCGAGGGGTTTCCAGGAAAGATCAAGATGCAAAAAAGTAGGTGGCACATCAAATGGAATTTCTATACTTTCTTCTTTCTTTTTCTCTGTTGGCTGGGTGGTCGTGGCAGGTTTCATTGGTCTAATGTCCCAGAAACATATTGTGCTTAAAGAAAGTTTTGATTGTTTTCTTCAGTACAAGTAAGTACAAGTACATTTATGCTACTACACATTGACAAAGCTATGTTACAATGTCTTTGAAAATAAGATTTTTATAAAAGAGCATCTTTTTGCATGTATTTTAGAGAATTAGAACATTTAATACCATCTATGTGCATTGAACTTGCAGACTGACACAATCTTTTTTAAGTGCAAGAGATTTATTATAACATAATTATATACTACAAAACCTACCCATTTAAAGTATATAGTTTAATGTATTAATTAGGTCTCTCTGGCTTATGTCTATGCTGGTCATGTAGGGCCTCTCCTGTAATTCCATGCTGCTCATGCTGCTGTCTGTCTCTTAGGCTTAAGCTGTGATTATTTCTTTTTATTTTATTTTTATTTTTTTTGGTCGGTCATGGGGCTTGAACTCTGGGCCTGAGCGTTGTCCCTCAGCTCTTCAGCTCAAGGCGAGCGCTCTACCACTTGAGCTACAGCGCCACTTCCGTTAAGCTGTGATTATTTCTATTAGGGTCAAAGCTGTTTAATAAAAAAAAAATTCAAAAGTTTTTTTTAATTGCACAAAACGTGTTCTATATGACATTTTCACACTTGTACGCTCTTTCCTTTGATTATACTCAACTCCATATTTCCCTCTGCTGTTTTCCTTTCCCCTCCCGCTGTGTGAGTCCCCTTCATCTTCTCAAGTAGTCTTTTATTACTTTCATGTCTTTTAATTTCAAAAAAAAATCTACCACTTTGGAAAGCAGTATGGAGGTTCCTCAAAAGACTCCACATAGAGCTCCCCTATGACCCAGCAATCCCACTTTCGGGCATTTACCCAAATGACCACAAACAAGACCACACTAAAGCTACCAGCACAACTATGTTTATTGCAGCATTATTTACTATAGCTAAGATATGGAACCAACCCAGATGCCCCTCAGTAGATGAATGGATCAAGAATATGTGGTATATATACACAATGGAATTCCATGCCTCCATCAGAAAGAATGACATTGCCCCATTTGTTAGGAAATGGAAAGGCTTGGAAAAAATTATATTAAGTGAAGTAAGCCAGGTCCAAAAAAACATAGGTCCCATGGTTTCCCTTATGTGCAATATCTAGCATATGTCTGAGTCCAGCAGAAAAGGTCAGATAAGGTGATGTTAGGAAAATGAACCCTAAGATATGTATTCAAATGTTTTTTTTCTTTCTTGTGATTGTTTCTAACACATTTATAAGATTATTTCTTTGTTGCTTTGTATGTCCCTCCCCCACAGTATAACCCCTGCTTTTCACTGTATTTGATGTCGATATAATTTGTGGAGGGGAAGGGGAAAAACAAATCGTTTAAATAGGGATACAGGTGGATTTATTGCAACAATGAGATGTACAAGTCATTATGTCATTGGTGGGGGGGGCGAGGAGGATTGGGTGGAGAGGCGGGAGGAGGATGGGAAGGGGTGGGAAGGGGAAACAAAGGAGGAGGCAACAATGCTTGATAAGAAATGTACTCATTATCTTGCCCATGTAATTGTAACCCCTCTGTACAGTATTTTCACAATAAAATAAAAAATATAGATTCTGCATATGAGAGAAAACATACAATATTTGTCTTTCTGAATGTGGCTTATCTCACTTACATAATGATCCAGTTCCACCTATGATGCAAGTGACACACTTTGTTCTTTATGGCTCAATAATAATTGTATAGATAGATATACCACACCTCCTTTACCCATTGAACTGTTAATAGGCACCTTGGCTGACTCCTTGGCTATTATGAATAGTACCAAAACTGTGTGTGTGTGTGTAAATTTATTTCTTGTTTATTTAACAAATAAATTAGGTACCTATTCTGTTATAGGTGGTAAGAATCAATCAGCAAATAACACAGCAAAGGAAAAAAAAACACAGAAAACTAACAATTTATTAGAAAGATACAGAAAATAAAATAAGTAAGTAAAGCAATTTAGTAAAGTGCTGGTGCTTATGTAATTAAATCTACTCAGAAGGCTTAGATCTACAGGCTCATGACTCAAAACTAGCCTGGCCAGAAAAGTCCACGAGACTCCGTCTCCAAAATAATCATCAAAAATCCAGAATGGAGGCATGGCACAAGTAGCAGAGCACTAGCTTAGCAAGTGTGAAGCTCTGAGTTCAAACCCTATACTGAAAAAAATTAAAATTTATTGTTTGATAACTGTAAGATATAAAGCCAGGAGTGGGCTGGGGAGCTTCCTCCTGGGGAGAAACAGCACCTTTGAAGAGTGTAGTAAGTAGAAAAGCTAATGGACAGAAGCACCGCCTACTCCCAGGACTTAAGCAACAACTTCCTGGTTGTTGTCTGCTTTCCATTCTTCCCCTGGATGTTCAGCCTTCCACAAGGGTTCAAGAAGAAACTTACAGCTCGTAAATTGTTTAGCATTTCTCCTCAGCTAAAGCACTAAAGCACTGCTGCAGCTCCCAGTCTTTCAGAATAATCTTGAAGTCCTTACCTGGTGTGGTCTTTGCTCATATTGAGCCCAACCTCTTGCTCTACTGGCCATCTCATCACCTAGCCACAACTTGTCAGAGCCCCACATGTTCTAGAATGTTCCCTTGCCGCTTTGTATGACAGAAAGATGATCTGCAAACACCACCTTCTCAACCACCAACTGATCTTCATATGTCAGCCTCGGTGTTTTCTGCGGACCTTTTTATTTATTATTATTATTATTATTATTATTAGTCGGTGGTGGGGCCTGAACTCTGGGCCTGGGCGCTGTCCCTCAGCTCTTCAGCTCAAAGCTAGCATTCTACCACTTGAGTCACAGCACCACTTCCGGCTTTTTCTACATATGTGGTGCTGAGGAATCGAACCCAGGGCCTCATGCATGCAAGGCCTAACTAACAGTCTAACTACTAAGCCACCTTCCCAGCCCTTCTGTGGACCCTTTTTTTTTTTTTTTTTTTGTCAGTCGTGAGGGTTGAACTTTGGACCTAAATGCTGTCCCTCAGCATTTCAGCTCAAGGCTAGTGCTCTACTACTTGAGCCACAGCACCACTTCCGGTTTTCTGAGTGGTTTATTGGTTTATAAGAGTCTCACGGACTTTCCTGCGTGGGCTGGCTTTGAACCCTGATCCTCAGATCTCAGCCTCCTGAGTAGCTAGGATTACAGGGGTGAGCCACCAGTGCCCAGTTTATAGACCTTTTTAAATATCATTTCCCACCCCTGTAGCAAACCACATTCAGTTTCCTTACACTTCCTGTTTTCCCTCTTAGGGCCTGAAATTTTATTATTCAAAACTGTTTTTATTAGTATTTTCTCTAATATTTTAGAGTTTAGATAAATATATTAGTGTCCATATTTCCTACATCATTACTAATTCATAGTTCTATGAAACTTCAGTTTCATCTAAATGAAAACTCTTCAACATGTTATAAAATGGTATAAACCATTTTATAATGTGCAATAAAAATGTAAAAACCTAAATGTGAAAAATCTTCATAATTATGAGATAAAGTTGAATGTAAACAACACATACAGTGAATTTATAGTGCCCAATATATGAAACAGAAAATAACTATGGCTAACACTGTATCCTTTATCAACTCAGTTAGTACAAAAATTGTCCTTATCAAAAGCTTTTTTTGTGTGTGTGTGGGTGCTAATGGCTTATGCCTGTAATCCTAGCTACAGATGGTTGAGATCTGAGGGTTATAGTTCAAAGCCAGCCCAGGCAAGAAAGCCTGTGAGACTCTTTATCTTCAATTAACCATCAAAAATCTGGAAGTGAACCTGTGTCTTAACTGGTAGAGTGCTAGCCTTGGGCCCAAAAGTTCAGGGGTAGAAATCAGGCTTAAGCCCCAAGACTAGCACAATATAAAATAAGATAATTTTTTTTATACATGAACTAATCTATAACATTCTGTCCTGTTATGTTAGGTCTAATTCATGTAATAAATATTATTTTTAGTAGCCTCTAAGAAAAAGGAACACATTGTATTAAAGCATTTCAGGAAATGTTTGAATATCACATACCAATCTGCTGAGCAGGTGATAAGCTGACAACAGATTCCACTTCGATTCTCAAAGACAGACCCCATTCTGTTAACCTATTAGGAAAAATGAGTACAGGTGTTAGCCACCAGGCACCTGGCCCCATTATGACTTTTAACATATTGTCGCTCCATATCCATTTTAATAATATTAAATTATTAAAGAGCTATAATAACCCTCATAACTATTTTCTCCTAATGTTCTTTGATCCTTTCATCTCTCTCTCTCTCTCTCTCTCTCTCTCTCTCTCTCTGTTGGTCATGGGGCTTGAACTCTGGGCCTGGGCTCTGTCCCTTGATGCTTTCATCTCTCAAACCCTTTGTGTCCTGGAGAGAAAATACTTGGAGAGCGTACTGACTTTGTGAACTTAGAAGCAAGTGCAAATAGTCTAGGGTATCTGAGGGATGCCTTACTCCGTAGCTAGTTTTCACTCAGTAGTTTCTTGGCATGTTCAGTTCAAAACTATCTTGGCAAAACTGCATATGACTGTGGATCATCGATCCTAGGGATGCCTGCCCCTACTGGCTAAGATCACAAATTTAAAAGCTGAAATGTAAAGGAATACAATAACTGCACTTTATGTCTACATATTCAACACTCACCTTCTCCTTTGTTGTATTGCACCAATGTTAAAACCATCTATGGCTTTAGTGACTGTAAACCTTACTACTTGAATGATTAGCTTCCTTACTTTTTTCTAGTGGGGGTTTGAGGGGGGAGTCTTGCTATATAGCCGAGGCTGGCCTTGAACATGCAATCTTCCAATTACAGGCTTGTAACTGGGTTTACAGGTATGTATCACCCTGTTCGGCTTAACTGTTCCTTTTCATTACATTCTCACTGATCCCTTAAAGCCAATTTGAACCCAGGGTCTCAACATGCTCTAGGCAAGTGCTATAATACTGCACCCCCAACCCTGGTTTCATTTGTTATCCCCAGGCCTGATATTGATCTGCCAGCATTTTTTTTTAAATTTTATTTTATTTTATTTGAGAACATACTGTACAGAGGGGTTACAATTGCATGGGCAGGATAATGCATACATTTCTTACCAAGCATTGCAGCCTCCTCCTTTGTTTACCCTTCACCTCCCTTCCCAGCCTCCCTCCCCCCCCCACCCAATCATACCCCCCCCCCACCGACATTGTAAAGCTGGTTTTGACATGACATTTTGTACTTCTCATTGTTGCAACAGGTCCACCTGATCTGCCAGCATTATTTAATCCTTAGTTTCTGGTTATTTTGCAATTTATATGAAAATGAATTACTGACTGGAAGCACATTTATTGGTTGAGATCTGAGATTTTACAGTACTGTAGGTGAAAAGTATAAAACACAAAGCACATTAAAACTCACCTCAAATGTGTCAGGCAGCCAGTGTATATCTGTAATTACCTTCCTATGTCCATGTTCGATGGAAGAGACTGCGCAGTGTCTGACATACATTGCTTCTTTATTACTCTCTGGTTCAAGGAGAAACATAGGCTGCAGAAATGTTAACGCATGGTTATGGTTCAGAGATTTGATGAGTGAGCTCACCATACTGCATTCCTCATTCTAATTAAAATTTGGAGTTATACCAGTTCAAGGAAAAAACATATGTGAGTGCTTTTATATTGCATATATTTAGATAATAGGATTATCCGTTTTTCCTTTCAGTTGAGTCTACGATTTTTATCTCTGAAGTTCACAATATATGGACGATATACCATAACTTCATTCTCCATTATTATTAAAAACTGCAAGCTCTTTCAGGCTTTTACTATTAATAGATGAGACAAATATAGGAATTTTTATGGAGTTGTTAGCATATAAAGCTAGCAAATATATCCATTCCTCAAAAATCATTGACCACAATGCATTGTAAACTGACATGTTGAACTGAAAGAAAATAATAATAACAACAACAATAATAATAATTATATAAAAGGACCTATGGGATATCACATTCTTGCAGGAGTTTTTCCATATCATATTCTTTGGGAAGAGACTTATCATTATTAAGGCTGAGGACTTAGAGCTGGAAAGAACATCCCATAGGATGAATAAATATAGAATGTGGAGCTAAGAAACATCTCAAAGTACTCTGACAGTATCCACAGGCTCACACTTCACATGCTCAAGTGATAGTACATTGTAGTCAGGAAGGATAACTCCTGTATTTTCTACATGAGAACCAATTCCTGATGTACTGGTGGTGGCATGTCCAGACTCACTGATGGTGATGCAGAGCCTGGACACAAGGTCTTTCTATCCTCCAACAACATGGCTTTAGACAAGTCACTTGGCTCCTTCATTTAACTTAATAAGAATGCAACTTGTAAGTGAAGCACTGGTGGCTCACACCTGTAATCTTAGCTACTCAGGAGACTGAGATCTGAGGATCACAGTTCAAAGCCAACCCAGGAAGGAAAGTCTGTGAGACTCATATCTATAATTAATCACCAGAAGATGTTAAGTGGCACTGTGGCTTAAGTGGTAGAGCACTCGATTTGAGATGAAGAGCTCAGGGACATTGCTCAGGTTCAGAGTTCAAGCCCCATGGCTGACCAAAAAAAATGATTTAGACCATGTTCACAAGCAGATGGGAAGGCCTGGGAAATAATTTTGGTTTTTCTTCTTTTTCTTTTCTGTGTGTGTGTGTGTGTGTGTGTGTGTGTGTGTGTGTGTGTGTGTTGGTTGTGGAGCTTGAACTCTGGGCCTGGGTGCTATCCCTGAACTCATAAGTTCAAGGTGAGTGCTTTACCACTTGAGCTACAGTGCCACTTCCGGTTTTCTGGTGGTTAAATGGAGATAAGAGTCTCATGGACTTTCCTGCCTGGGCTGGCTTTGAACCGCCATCCTCAGATCTCAGCCTCCTGAGTAGCTAGGATTACAGGCTTGAGCCATCAGTGCCTGGCTTTTCTTCTTTTTCTTTTTGTACTGAGTCTGTCTTCTTTTTTGTTTTTGCTTTTTTCTTTTGTGTTGTATTGGGACTTAAACTCTGGGCCTCTTAGCTTCCCTCCTCTCCTCCCCACCCCCCTCCCAGGGCTGGCATTCTACCATGTGAGCCACAGCTCTTCTTTTTTTTTTTTTTTTGCTGGTTAATTGGAGGTAAGAGTCTCATGGACTTTCTTCCTCCAGGCTGTTCTTAAACTGTGATCCTTAGAGGTCAGCCTCTTGAGTAGCTAGGATTACAGACTTGATCCACTAGCACTTGGCTTACACTGAATGTTAAACTTGACAACTCTATTATGTACTTTTCAATAAATACCTGAATAGAAAACAAAAACAAAAACAACCCCAAACTTGCAAGTGAAAAGTTACAGGAAGCCAACCTTGAGTGAGACTTTTTTACTTCTGCTGCTGCCCGACTTGATGTTTTCTATGCGCTCTGCATGTGCCGTGATATCCCACATGATGATCTAAAACAGAAATGAGCTTTATTGCCACATTTTCCAGGACATGGCTAAATCAGCTCTTGAATAATTTTTTAGGAGATTATTGGTATGTAGGATAAGCAAACCTAGTTTATATCTTAAGTAATTCAGCAACTTTTTTTTTTTTTTTTTGGTCGGTCATGGGGCTTGAACTCTGGGCTTGGGTGCTGTCCTTAAGCTCTTCACCTCAAGGCGAGTGCTCTACCACTTGAGCCACAGCGCCACTTTTAAAGCAAATATATATTAAAAAACAACAACAACAACAACCCTACCTGCAGCACTTGGGCTTTTGGCTTTTGTTGATGAATGCTAGTATATTTAAAAATCCAAGAGAAATTTCATGTACTGTCCTTTCCATTGAGAGGAGTTCCTCCTCTGACCATGGGTATGATTGCAGGTGCAGCTGCTTTCGACCCAGGGGAAATCAGAATTTCCAAGAACTCTCTGGAATTAAGTTCTCCAGAGTTAAGTACAAATACGCAATTTGAAAAGAAATGACAGGAGTGTTGATAAGTGATGATATGAACTGAATGTAATAGTCAGCCTATATTTTTGTATACTATTAAAAAAATAAGTGGGGAGCTGGACACTGGTAGTTCATGCTGCTTGTAATCTTCGCTACTCAGGAGACTGATATCTGATGATTTGGGTTCAAGCAGCTTGAGCAAGAAAGGCTTTGACACTCTTATTTCCATTTAACCACCAGGTAATGCTGTGGCTCAAAGTGGTAGAGCACTAGCCTTGAGCAATAAAGCTCAAGGACAGCTCCCAGGTCCTGAGTTCAAGCCGCATGACTGAGCAGAAAAGAAAGGTGGGGGGGGGGGGAAGCGGATAAAGTAGAATCTGAAGCTCTGAAGATTAGCTTTTAATGACAGTCTTTCAAATTATCAAAAACTTAATATAAAATATCAAGTTCATTAGTTCATCAAGTTCATTTTCATCATATGATTTTCAAAAGTATTCTGAAATAAGAATAATTTTTGTCATGCATAACAAAAGCATTTCAGAATTTTCAGGGCTTGGAGGATAGGGTGGCTCATCATTGTGACCCTCAGTTAATGTTGAACAAGATGGTGAGAAAATTTGTTTTTCTGCTTTTTGGGGGTTAGTTCTGGGTAAATGGGCAAGGGAGATACACATATTTAAATGTTAACCACATAGATGTTTTTATACACACACACACAGAATCATATGCCCTTTTGATCATCAAACCCACTGGATAGTAAGGAATTTAAAATTATATTATATGGTAGCATTACCATTTTTTATTCTGCTTCCTTAGTAAACAGAATATTGGAGGCTAGGAACTGAATTTCGTATAAATTAGATTACTTAAAAATGCAAGACAGCCAAGTGCTCATGGCTCTTGCCTACAATCCTAGCTACTTAGCAGACTGGGATCTGAGGATCATGGTTTGAAGCCAACCCAATAGGAAAGTCTATGAGACTTAGCTCTAAAAAACCAGTAAAAAGCAGTGGTTCAAATGGTAGAGCACCATCTTGAGCAGAAAAAAAACTAAGGAACAGAGCTCAGGATCTGAATTTAAGCCCCAGTTTTTTTTAATGGTAAGACAAAAAAGGCAGATGTGATATCATATATACATGAGGTCAAGGCTGCATGTGTGTTTTCTTGTGAATTTCATTATTTTCTGACCTCTGACCTCAAGGACATCTCAGAAGGGGTCTCCTCACAAAGTAGTAATGTGGGTAGACTGTCTTCTTCCATGAAAGCTGATACAAAATGGGATTCTACTGTGGAAACTCCATCACTTTGTTACCCTAGGAATACCTGGGGTATTGGGATCATGCCTAACACATTTTTACAACCTTGTTTCTGCAGGGCGACTACCATAAAGTTGGCATGCCTTTTCTTTGCTAAAATGAATCCTATGTCCAAGACACTACTAAATCAAAACTTCTTACAGAACATAATTCGCATTAATAAATGGTGAAAAAAATGGATAAGTACCTGCCCATTTATACAGCCTCCAGCAATGATATTAGGGTCACTTGGACAGAACTTGAAGCAGAAGATGTCATCTGGGCTTTCCAGCATTAACTATAGTAATCCCACAAATTCAAGAGAGAGTGAGAAAACATGAAAATGATGGTTAGAAAATAGAATGAAGATACTGAAACTCTAATTGTATAACCATCTTTAAGTAACATGCACCTGAGGCCATCCTAAGAGTTCTGCCTCTGAGTTAAAGGCACTTTTGAGAATAGGTGTGCTTGCAATGGAGCCCAGCTTTCCTGCCACCTACCTCAGAGAGTATGTCATTATTGGGCATGTTATAATTGTGTGTGTGTGTGTGTGTGTGTGTGTGTGTTTTGGTAATGGGGTTTGAACTCAGGGCCTAGGCACTTACTACTGCTTTAGCTTTTTAGCTCAAGGATGGTATTGTACTACTTGGGACACAGTCCCACTTAAGGCTTTTTGGTGGTTAATTGGAAACAAGTCTCATGGACTTTCCTACCTGGGCTGGCTTTGAACCACAATCCACAGACTTCAGCTTTCCGAATAGCTAGGATTATAGGCATGAACCACTGGTGCCCACCTTTTTTTTTTTTTTTGTAAAAGGGCTGCCACTAGCAATTCTGCAAATTGTGGAGTTACTGCTGACTGTAACATTCCACAAGTATAAACTCTGTTTTGCTCAAAATGAATGAAATTCTGCAATCCAGAAATCCTAACTTTATAAGTGCTTAAAATATTATGGGATTATAAAATATTTTGTGGTTTATAATCCTAGCCACTCAGGAGGCTAAAATCTATGAATCATAGTTCTAAACCAGCAAGAAAGTCTGCAAGATTCATCTCCAGAAATGTAGCTGTAATTCAAGTGGCAGAGAGCTAGCCTTGAATAGGAAAGCTAAGGGGCAGCATCCAGACCCGGAATTGAAGCCTCAGGACTGGCACAAAAATAAATAAACAAATGAACAAAGTGGTTTTCAATAAAAACTGCTTAAGACCTCTGAGAAAGTAATAAATGAAAAGACTGCAGGAATAGTTGTCATTAATTACCTGAGGATGTATGGGATCAGAGAAACTCCAGAAAAGAATCAATGATGGTTGCAACAATAGTTTACCAGAGAAGTGCACTCGGTCTTCATAGGAGAGTCGCACGGCTACTGACACAACTATTAGCCCTGAATGAAGCACAAGCAGAAGAGAAATTTAAACCAGTAACAAATGAACATGAAAGAGAGCTGTGCTGCCAGCATTTGCTGTGATCTAGTTGCTTTGGTTGTTGTTTATTTATTTTTGTTTTGTTTTGTTTGGCAATAAGGCAGTAATGGGGTTTGAACTCTGAACCTTGAACTTGCCAGGCTTTCCACTACTTGAATCACATACCCAGGCCTTTTTGCTTTAGTTTTCAAATAGGGTTTCACATTTATGCCTGGACTGTGATCTTCCTATGTACATTTTCCCTGCAGTTAGGATGATAACCATATACCACCACGCCCAGCTTTTTATTTGTTAACATGGGGTTTCTTAAACTTTTTGCCTCCAACTACAGTCCTCCTAATCTCCATTTCCCAAGGAGCTAGAATCATGAACATCAGCCACTGGGCCTAGCTATAGCTTCTGCTCTTCTATGAAATATATTTAGTAACCACCAGCGACATGTTACTTATGTAGCACTTACAACTAGATGGTCTGAATTAAGATAAGCTGTTAGTATGAAAGTTAAAACAATGGACCTGGAAGGTTTTAGTAACAACAAGAATGTTATATTTCTTTTCTTTATGAGGAAAGGCCCGGGGGGCGGGGAACAGGGCAGGGACCTCTCTTTTCTTCCTTACACCTGCACACACTCCTGCTCTTAGATACTTGGCTCTTTGAAAGGAGTGTGTTTACCATCTTGTCCAGTAATCAAACAGAAAGAAGGCTAGGAGAAGTTAATTCAGCCTGGGGAGTCCAATAACCCCCAGTTGCATCCAGTTTCTGCATTCGTTGAGCTATCTGGGTGACCTGCAAGTCACTTCCCAGAAAAGAACTTTGTAGAGATAATAATACGTATATTCAGCACCATTCTGGGAGGATACAAGACAAGGGGAGGTGTGGGAGGTGCTTGCTCTAAAGATGTCTGGCATTCAGCAAATGAAAGTTGTTTTTTTTTTTATAGCAATGGATCTAGTCATTTTTGCAAGGAAGAGCAAGACTATCTTGATCTCAGCACAGAAAGGCATGCTGGCATTCTCTTCTCACCGTAGATGGTTGGATGCCAGCAGACACAGGTAACTGTTTTCTCGATGAGGCTATGAAGGTCCGTAAAGGACTGGTACTCTTTCAGGTGGGTATCAGTCTTGTCCCCAAAGGTGCCTTCTTCTTCTGCCAGGAACTTCCAGTCATCGACAAACGTGTTCAGGAGTTCATTTTGTTGCAAGGCTATTTCAACGCTGTTTCATTAAAAAAGGAAAGTAATTAAGATGTTGGATTTTTAGTATTCAATGATATGGAGATTTTTTTTAACAGTTCTTCCATGTATATACAACAAAAATAATCATAATAATTACTATTTTAATAAATTTAATAAGTGTACTTATTACCTTATTTAGGTAACTGTAACCCCTCTGTATAGCACCTTGACAATAAAAATATAAAAAGTGAAAAATTAAATGAAACAACACCATCAACAATAATGATAATTCTCAATTATATTTGGCCATCATGATGAACCCTATGTGAAATAAAGGATTTAGGAGAAATAAGTTGTGGCAGTGTTCTACTGGCTGGTATAAGACACCGTCAGAATCTGTAAATCCCAGTATCTTCCAGACATGTCTCGGTGAGTCCGCTCTGAACACTGGCCACAGAGATTGTGCCTGGGGTCACAGTGCTTTCTGTATCCCATTCTGAACCTACTCAAGTGTCACCTTGAAGGACTTTGGTCTCCTGGACTATTTGCATATGTTTGGTGTTTTGCATGCTGTTTAGTTTGTAATTAGTATTCTGTACTCAAGTAATTTTCTTTTACTATATTTTTTTCTTTTTAGCATTGTCTGTATTTTAATATTGTTTATTTTGCTTTTGGATGCCCTCCAATAAATGAATTAATTCTGGAATCATTTTTCACTTGACACTGGATTTCGTTTTGTCATTTGATGAAGAATGAAGAGCCTATCCATCCTGGTGGAATTATATTTCTTGAAGCTAACATTGTTACTTATGAACTTGACCACAGATTTTTCATTTGTGGAAGAAATAGAAACCAAGTTATTGAGCAAAACCAGCAGACTTGCCCACTATTGTTTCTGTGAGCTCTGATACTGGCTCTCTGAGACCGGAACTCTGCCCAGGGTCATTTTTATCAGCATAGAAGTTTTTATTTAAAAGACATCTCTTTTTCACAGTCACTAAGAATGGCAACAACCCAAAAATTAGTGATGGTATTTGCTTATCCAAAAAGTGCCTCTGACTTGAATCAGGTTCTGTATTCATGAAGATACTTTTACAAATACTTCCATCATGATAATTATTATTAATAGCCACAGGCATTTGCATTATACTATAAAAGTCAATGCAGTGGGGCTGGGAAGGTGGCTCAGTGGTAGAATGTTTGCCTCACATGCATGAGGCCTTGGGTTTGATTCCTCAGCACCACATAAGCAGAAAAAGCCGTAAGTGGCTCTGTGGTTCAACTGGTAGAGCACTAGCCTTAAGCTGAAGAGCTGAAGGACAGACTCAGGCCCAGAGTTCAGGTCTCATGACTGAGAAACAAACAAACAAACAAACAGGTCAATGAAGCTAAGAAGGAGACTAAAGAAGGAAGAAAAAATTAAAAGTAAATACAGAGACTGAGTATCCCTAATCCAAAAGTTGTATTGAAACCTGAGATGCTCCAAAATTTGAAAGTTTTTGAAAATAGAAACGACACTATGAGTGGAAAATTCCATATTATGAAATTGTGTTTCATACATAAAGTTATTTAAAATAATTGCATAAAATGTTGTGGTTTCTTTTACCTTGTGCACACACTGTTGAGGAAATCAGCCACAGACTTGGACTGTCCCAGTATTTCTTTTTCCTCTTCTGAGAATTCTCTTGGATAATATTGCGTAGTAGCATTTTTAGGATATGTCCTATATATTAGAGGAAATTTGAATACCAAAATTTAGATTAAAAAAAGCAAGTGTAGGGCACAACAGATTAAATTTGACTGTGGCAATAGTATCATGGTATTTACATTTAAATTATATGCCCTAATTATTATTATTATTTTTGTTGGTTGTGGGGCTTGGCCTGGGCGCTGTCCCTTAGCTCTTCAGCTCAGGCTAGGGCTCTACCACTTGGGCCACAGTACCACTTCAGTTTTCTGGTAGTCTATTGGAGATAAGAGTCATTACAGGATGGAATAGGAGAAACCCTAGGTCTCCTTGGCTCAGGCCGAAATTTTCTTAATAGAGACCCAGAAACACAACAAATCAAAGAAAGGTTGGACAAATGGGATTGCATGAAGTTGCAGAGTTTCTGCATGGCAAAGGACATAGCTAGCAAGATCAACAGAAAGCCCACGGATTGGGAGAAGATCTTCACTAGCTATACAACAGACAAGGGTCTCATATCTAAAATATACTTGGAACTCAAAAAAATTAAATCCCCCAACAACAAATCCTCAAAGAAACAACTGCCCAATAAATAAGTAGGCTAAAGACTTAAAGAGAAACTTCTCTGAAGAAGAAAGAAGGATGGCCAATAGACACATGAAGAAATGCTCAACCTCCCTAGCCATAAAAGAAATGCAAATCAAAACAACATTGAGATACCACCTCACTCCAGTTAGAATGGCAAAAATCAAGAACTCTAACAACAACAGATGCTGGAGGGGATGTGGACAGAAGGGAACCTTACTTCATTGTTGGTGGGAGTGTAAACTTGTTCAACCACTTTGGAAAGCAATATGGAGGTTCCTGAAAAGATTTCACATAGAGCTCCCCTATGACCCAGCAATCCCACTTTTGGGCATTTACCCAAATGATCACAAACAAGACCACACTAAAGCTACCAGCACAACTATGTTTATTGCAGCATTATTTACCATAGCTAAGATATGGAACCAACCCAGATGCCCCTCAGTAGATGAATGGATCAAGAAAATGTGGTATATATACACAATGGAATTCTATGCCTCCATCAGAAAGAATGACATTGCCCCATTTGTTAGGAAATGGAAAGACTTGGAAAAAATTATATTAAGTGAAGTAAGCCAAGCCCAAAGAAACATAGGTCCCATGGTTTCCCTTATTTGCAATATCTAGTATATGTATGAGTCAAGCGGAAAAGGTCAGATAATGTGATGTCAGGAAAATGAACCCTTAGATATGTATTTTAATGTTTTTGTCTTTCATGCATTTGTTTCTAACGCATTTATAAGATTATTTCTTTGTTGCTTTGTATGTCCCTCCCCCACAATATAAGCCCTGCTTTCACTATATTTGATGTTGGTATAATTTGTGGAGGAGATGGGGAAAAACAAGTCATTTAAGGATACAGGTGGACCTGTTGCAACAATGAGACTACAAGTTGTCATGTCGAAAATGAGCTTTACAACGTTGGTGCAGGGGGAGGGGAGGGAGGATTGGGTGGGGGGCCGGGGAGGGGGGGAGGCTGGGAAGGGATGTGAAGGGTAAACAAAGGAGGAGGCTGCAATGCTTGATAAGAAAAGTACGCATTATCTTGCCCCTCTGTACAGTATGTTCACAAAAAATAAAAATAAAAATTAAAAAAAAAAAGAGTCTCATAGACTTTCCTGCCTGGGCTGGCTTTGAACTACAATCCTCAGATCTCAGTCTCCTGAGTAGCTAGGATTACAGCTGTGAGCCACCAGCACCTGGCTCCTAATTTTTTTTATTTATTTATATTTTTTATTGTCCTAATTTTTTTTATCATGGACAATTGATATCGATTACCAAAGTTGACATGTATTTCTTCCCAATCCAATCAAAAAGATCTTATTTCACACAAGTTTCATTTAGAAATCATTTAAAGAATACAGAAAAGCTGTAAAAAAAACTTATGTATATGCTTCACTCAGCTTAATCTATTATTGACATTTACCACATGTACATTTTTGGCCTTTTTGTTTTCATTTTGTTAAATTAGTGTTACTTCACCAGCAACATCCATCCCGGGGAATAATTGGCAATGTCTGGAAAGAGTTTGGGTTCTTACAACTGGAAAATACCACTGGAAGCTAGTGGGCAGAGCCAAAGATGTTAAACAGCCTACAAAACTCAAGAAAGCCTTCCCACAGCAGAGAATTACCCAGTGTCATTTGTGCTGAGGTGAAGACATCTTGCTTTAAGAATACAAAGCTTCGGGCTGGGAAGGTGGCTCAGTGGTAGAGCGCTTGCTTTGTGCACATGAGGCCCTGGGTTCGATTCCTCAGCACCACAGAAGCAGAAAAAGCCAAAAGTAGCACTGTGGCTCAAGTGGCAGAGCACTAGCCTTAAGCTGAAGAGCTGAGGGACAGTGTCCAGGCTCAGATTCAGGCCCCAGGACTAGCAAAAAAAAAAAAAAAAAAAAAGAAAAAAGGAAAAGAATACAAAGGTAGGAGCAGCTACCAGCAGCAATGATGGTATTAAGTCTGAGATCAACAGTTCCTGCCAGTCTGCCTCCAGCACTGGCCTGTGCTGTGACCTTGACCCATAGTATGACATATCTGGGGTCACAATCAGTCTCACTAAACTTTGATCCTAGGCTGGGGTTGTGAAAGGGCAAATGGCAAAATTATTACCTACGTAGGGTGTGATAACAGGTAGCCTGGCACGGATACCTGGTTCTTACCAGCCATGTGACCCTGTGCTAATTATTTGACTTCTCTATTTCACTAAATGAAATTCTTAAAGCACCTAGCTCATAGGGCTATTGTAAGGCTAGGCTATGTTATTACATACATAGCTTTAAAAATATTTGACACAGCCGGGCGCTGGTGGCTCACGCCTGTAATCTTAGCTACTCAGGAGGCTGAGATCTGAGGATCTTGGTTCAAAGCCAGCCCGGGCAGGAGAGACTGTGAGACTCTTATCTCCAATAAACCACCAGAAAACCGGAAGTGGTGCTGTAGCTCAAGTGGTAGAGCGCTCGCCTTGAGCTGAAGAGCTGAGGGACAGCGCCCAGGCCCAGAGTTCAGGCCCCATGACCAACAAAAACAACAACAAAAAAAACTTGACACATTTGAAGTGCTCAATAAAATATTAGGTATTTAATCCGTGTTTGTTGAATAGATGTCAGTAAATTGTCTTTGTGAGTGGCAAACCTGTTAAATAGAAAGTAATCACACCGATGGGTAAAGAGACTTTTGATTATATTTAATAGAACAACTCTTTTCTTGTTTGCCTAGATTGGTATCCATGGCAAAAAGCAGAATGCTGATAAGAAGGAATATTTGTATTAGAACCAAAGAGACAAATCTGAATCAAATGTTAATTTCCCTTTTATCGCCTATGTTCCAGGAAGGAGGGGGTAGGTAAGAAATACATGGTACTTGTGATCGTTAAAGTAGCCATATAACCAAGAGTTGTTCTTTTATAAAACCTAACTGCTAACTGCTTCTTAGCAAAACTATTCATCAATTGAAATTATGTTTCTATATAAATTGTGTTCTAAACACTGAGCTTTTGTTTTTAATTTCTCTTTGTCTTCATTTCTTTATCTGGGAAATGGAGATAGCGCCTCCTTCAGGGAGAAGATGGAAGAATTAGCTGGTTATATAGTTATGTAAGTGTTGAGAATAACTCCTGGTGCAAAGGGAACCTGAAAGCAGCTTCTGTTACTGTAATTACTCTTTGAGGCCTGTCGTTGTGGTTCAGGATGTCATCCATCACCGTTATGAACTCTGTCTTCCTTCTCTTGTCCCAACTACCTTTCTTTACTCTCTCATCTTAGGAAGGCGATACCAGCATTCTCCCATTCATCTAGGTTTGGGCCATTCAAATTGGTTTTGGTTTCCATTTGGTGGGTAAAATCTGTGCTTCTCATCTGATCGATCCCTCTCTCTACAGAAACAGCTGTGACTAGTATGATTAGACAACATTTATTGACAGCCCACTCTATCTAAAGTCCTATGATTGTATCAGAGTCTGAGGGCTCCTTCTGAGTTTGTCAACTGATTCTACCCTGACTGATGCACTGTTGTGACTTGTATATTCCTTGGTAGAAATATAGATGGAACCTTCACTAAGAAATCCAAAATTCGCAGGTCCATTAACACTAACATAATACTTTTCTCCTTCTTACCTTGCTCATACCTTTTAGGGTTTATGGATCTCTGGTGTCACTACCTCCAGGGTTTTACTAGAAATCCCTTCTTTTCTCTTTGCTTTCTCTGGTTCTAATCTGTCAGCTAGATATATTCCTTGCCTAAACATTAGTGTCTATATGTACCTTGAATTTAACAGTTAACATCATATGTCATGGTATCTGGTTTGTTGGTTTCCATATGCTTGAAGAGTGTTTTACTGCACTGCACCACATGCTACTGACCCCAATTTTCCTGGGTGTGAGATCCCTAGCTGTGTATGTCATGGCTCTTCTCCTAAAACATTGCACAATCTTCCTTAACTTATTCCTTCTCCTACTGCCTTCCTTGCTTTATTTTATTTTCTTCTCCATTTAACAAGGACATGCCAGGAATGGTCCTAGGATTTAGAGATACAATAGTTTTAAAAAGAAGGGATAAAGGGGCTGGGAAGGTGGCTCAGTGGTAGAGCGCTTGCCTTGCATGCATGAGGCTCTGGGTTCAATTCCTCAGCACCCCATAAGCAAAAAGAAAAAAGCCAGAAGTGGCTCTGTGGCTCAAGTGGTAGAGCGCTAGCCTTGAGCTGAAGAGCTGAGGGACAGCGCCCAGGCCCAGAGTTCAGGCCCCATGACCGGACCCCCCCCCAAAAAAAAAAGGGATAAAATTCTTACGTTACTGACTTTAAATTCTAAGCAGAGAAGGGAGATGAGAGAATGAAAAGTATATACCACATGAAGAAAAACAGAGAGAAAGAACATGGCTAGTAATGGAGGCTGTTGCTTTCATGAACTGGCAGAGGATGCCTCATTTGTTCAGAAAGTGGAATGAAGGAGGCCAGGAGCCTAATAGTATTTGGGGAAAGAGAAGTCTGTGTAAAGAAGCTGTATATTAACATACCAGTCATTTATATGTATGGAGAACTCAAGAAACAAGGATGACATAGCTGAACTGGGGAAGTATGAGAAATGAGGGCAGAGACTCAAACAGGATACAGAGCATATAAAGCCCGTATCTTCTTTCAGGATGGGAACCACTAGAGGGCGTTGATAAGACATGTTCTGACATACATTTTACAGCAGGATTACTCTGGCTAGGTTACGAAGAACTCAAAGGATGGACAGTGGAAGCTCACTAGGAGTTCCAGTAATCTAAGCAAGAGGTGTTGGTCTAGGCTAACCGTAGTGGATATATTTTGAAGACAGATCCAACAACAAAATCCAAGGTTTTAAGTGTGGGTAGTTAGGAGAATTTCATTACAATTTACAGAGATGTGGAATATGTAGGTAGGAAGTTTCACATTTGGAGATAGAAAATCAAGTGTGCTGCTGGACACTGGCAGCCCACACCTGTAATTCTAACTTCTTTGGAGGCTGAGATCTGAGGATTGCCATTCAAAGCCAGCCAGAGAAAGGAAGTCCATTAGGCTTTTGTGTCCAATTAGCCACCAATAAACTGGATGTGGGGCTGTGGCTTGAAGTGGTAGAGTGCTAGTCTTGAGGGGAAAAGCTCAGGGATAGTGTCTAAGACTGACACAAATGTTATTTTACTTCAGGGTGTTGCAAGTTTTGGGTATCACAAGCACATTATATGGAAATCCACATAGTGTTCAAGCCCCTATGAGCAACAAAAAATTAAGTTTGTTGTTGAGCATTTAAAGTTAAGATACTTATTAGTCATCCAAACAAGCAGATGATGAACGAGTGAGAGAAAGGTATGAGGGAGGAGACACTGAGGCTGGGTGTGTACACTTGGGAATCAGAAGCATAATACAGTGTTGGATAAAGTTACTCTGGGATTAAATCTAGTTAGAGAAAAGATGGAAAAGAGTTGGAATTGGAGTCCTAAAATATTTAAAACCCAAGAAGAAGAAAGTCCAGTAAAAGGGCCCACTAAGGAGCTACTGTGGGGATCAGAAAGTGAACACTACATGCAATCAGCAAAATGGCAAAAGTGTTTCAAGAACGAATCAATCCTGTTTTATCTTACTAAGGAGCTGAAGCAAGAGTAGTTCTGGAAATGGACTGGCTAGGAGGTGTTTAAGACTGAGTTGAGCAAGCTCAAGAAGAGAAAGTAGAACTAGACCATGTTTGTGGTAAAGAAAAGCAGAGATGTTAGGTAACAACTGGAGCAGCAGAACTTCAGCGAAGTTCACAGCATTTTGTATGTACATGTCACCTTTCCACCTCTATTTACTGCTACCACCTAAATTTAGACACCCATCACATCTCGCCTGGTTTAATTACAACAGGCTCCTACTTGATCAGTCTCAACTCCAGGCATTCTTTTCCCTGCCCTCACTCCATACTGCATGGGTTGTTGTATCTTTATAATCTTACCATCATGTCTCTCCTTTGCTCTAGAACTTGCCAGTGTTTCCTACCATCTGCCACTTCTGTTTACCTCCTCAGTGGGGAAAGAGGACTTTCCATGCCATCACAAGGACTCTGTATGGACATGTGTTAGTAAGTAATAGAGAGCCAGATAAGAAAGCTAGCCAAGGAAGAAAGACAATCAAACCTGGGTCTAAAAGTGGTCAGTTGAAAACCGGGCACTGGTGGCTAAGATCTGTAATCCTAGCATCTCAGGAGGCTGAAATCTGAGTATTGAAGTTTAAAGACAGTCCAGGCAGTAAAGTCTGTGAGACTCTTATCTCCAATAAACTACTTAAAAAAGAAATCTAGAAGTATAAGCTGGGTGCCGGTGGCTTACGCCTGCAATCCTAGCTACTCAGGAGGCTGAGATCTGAGGGTCACAGTTCAAAGCCAGCCCAGGCAGGAACATCCATGAGCCTCTTATCTCTAATTAACCACCAGAAAACCAGAAGTAGCACTGTGGCTCAAGTGACACAGTGCTAGCCTTGAGCTGAAGAGTGCAGGGACAGTGCCCAGGCCCAGAGTTCAAGACCCACAACTGGACAAAAAAGCCAGAAGTGGAGCTGTGGCTCAAGTGGTACAGTGCTATTCTTGGGCATTGAAGGTTAGGGACAGTGCCCATGTCCTGAGGTAAAGCCCCAGGACCAGGACCAAAAAAAAAAAAGTGGTCAGTTGGTTAGGAGTGATGGTATTATTCCAGGTGAGAGATTACCAGACCCCATTTTTCCCTATTCATATTCTTTGTATAAAATTTTTTTTTACAATTAAAAATCATAATGAATAAGATCATATCTTCCTAAATTCCTTTATGGATGTCATTGTCAATGAATTAGTTTTCTCTTTTTTATTTTGTAACTGGGGCTTGAATTCAGGTCTTGGTCTCTTGCTCATCTTTTTGGCTCATAGCAGGTGCATGACCACTTGATCTATGCCTCATTTCTGCTGGTTAAGTGAAGATAAAGAATATTGTAGATTTGTTTGCTAGACTGGCTTCAAATCCCTTTTTACTGAGCAGTAGGATTATAAGTTTAAGCCATAAGAACTAAGCTCCATTTTTCTTTCTTTCCTGCTCGAGTTGGCTTCAAACCGTGATCCTCAGATCTCAGCCGGTTGAGTAGCTAGGATTGTACAGATGTGAGCCAACAGTCTCTGACTTCCATTTAATTTATTATAACCATCCCTCAAAATTATCATGGAAGTTGCTAGATTTTGATGGCATTGTCTGCAAAATGCATACACCATTCATACTCACCATTTTGTCTGAGTACTCATGTCCTTGACTTGGGGTATTACTTGCATAGCAACATCTTTCTCAAGTTGTTTCAGGGTAAAATTTTTATCTGGGTAAGCTGTGCATTCAATGTAGGCATCTTTGACACTGGAAGCATTCTGGTCACTGAACGTAACTGGTGCACCAAATTCACTTCGCTTTCGAGATATCATATATGTAATCTGCAAACACATGTCAACGTATTACACAGGTAAAGGAACCTCATGATGTCACTGGGAAGAAGGTGGATATATGGTAGACAATGTATATATTATATACCCAGATCCTTTCAGATCCTGTTATATATTCTGTGGGCCACTTCAGCTCTGTGTGCTTTCTGTTCCCACAGACTACACCTGCCACTTCTCTTCGAAGAATGCTCCTGAGATTAGTTGCCTGTGGGTACTATGGAAAGGTCGAGGAAGGGACTGGAAGCTTACATCTTGACTGCTGGTGGGCTGATAGGAAGCATACAGGCCTATATTTTTGGACAACTCTGAGGCATAGTTAATACTCCACAGTTTCTCCATGAGTTCACATTGAAGCCTTTTTCTCTAGAGGGTTTACCCAAGTGCTGTCATAACCAAGTACCAACATGTAGGAATTTATTCTTAGTTGTGTAGGTAAGAAGTCTAGAGTCAAGGTACAGGAGCATCGGTTCCTGTTAGCGCTGGAGGCAGAACCTGTCCTTGTTTCTCTCCTAGCTTCCAGTGTCAACCAGCAATTCTTGGTGTTCCGTGTAGTGAGGCTACACCCTACAGTCTCACCCTCCTTTTTCACATGATATTCTCCTCATGTGTCTATGTCTACTTAAGAGCATCTTCATATAAAGACACTAGTGTAATTGGATTAGGGGCCTAACTTGTTCCTTATCTCTAATTAATTATATAAGCAATGACCCTATTTCCAAATAGCATCACATTCTAAGGTACTAGGGTTATGACTTCAACATCTTCCTTCTTTTTTGGAGGGGGAAAGCAATTAAATCCATATCCCACTTAAGAAAAATGACTATTATTCTAAAAAACAAGCAAAAAGGCCATACACCCACATCTCAGGCAGCAAATTTTATAGCTTCCTTGGGAATAAAGCTCTAGTGGTTTAATAACTAGAGGGTTCTCACCTGCCTTCCAGAGTCCTTAACTGACTCTTCTTCAATTTCTTTTTCACTGCCCAAAGAAATCCATGGTTTAGAGATAGGGGGTTGGTAAACATATAGATCTTCAGGGGAAAGTTCTTTATATTCATCTAGTTCTTCTGTTATGTCTGGAGGCTACAGTAAAATAAATGGCATCCTTAAATATATGCCTAAATTTAAGTATATAACCACATGTATACATCTTCCAATAAATTTTACTTCTTATAAGTTCATGAAATAGTTCCTACTTGTTTTGTTGGTTTATGCTTTTGAATTATGGAAAGTAATAAAAAGAGATGAAATAATGAATATAAAAGGCACATCAAGAATATAGAAAGAAGAGAAAAAGAAAACAATGCATAATGAGAAAAAAGCATTGACTACATATCTTTATGCATATAGACTGCTAAATTTGATGAGAAAATACCATTTTCTTTTATTTAATTCATGGTTCTTTGATAGGCATAAATATGAATAAATATGATGTCTCTTAAATACTAGGTATAGTTTTTTTTTAAAAACTAAGATGTTCACTGCTGCTTTATTAGGAACACTGAAAAAATGAACAACTGAGTGCATAGCATTAGGAAAATGGACAGGTGACAGTGTAATATAGTTATAAAACAAAATCCCATTAAGCAACTATAACGAACAAACTCAATCTATGATATCTAATATATCTATAGTTATAGATCTTAGAATTTTATAATTTAAGAAAAAAAGTTGTGGAATTAATTAATTAATTACATAATTAATTTTTGTTGGTTGTGGGGCTTGCACTCTGGGCCTGGGCACTATCCCTCAGCTCTTCAGCTCAAGGTGAGTGCTCTACTACTTGAGCCACAGCGCCACTTCCAGTTTTCTGAGTGGTTTTTATTGGAGATAAGATTCTCACAGAGTTTCTGCCCAGGCTGGCTTTGAACCATGATCCTCAGATCTCAGCCTCCTGAGTAGTTAGGATTACAGGTGTGAGCCACTGACGGCCAGCTTTGGAATGACTTATAAGCGATGTAATTATTTAAATTTTAAATGAATAAAATAACATTGTGAAGCATATATGTATAAAATATAAAATCACAAACAGGAAAATTATATAAAACCATACAATTATAGTTCCTTATAGAAAAGAGTGAAGAAAATCAAATTAGGGAGGACATTAAAAATGAGTTTTTCATAACTGATTACTTTTTTCTTGGTGCTGTTCCTGGAACTTGAACTCAGTGCCTGGGCACTGTCCCTGAGCTTCTGTGCTCAAGGCTAGGGCTCTACTATTTGAAACACAGCACCATTTGTGGCCTTTTGGTAACTGTAGATGGACTTTTCCTGCGCAGGCTGGCTTTGAACTGCAAGCCTCAGATCTCAGTCTTCTGAGTAGCTAGGGATTACAGGCGCAAAACATTGACACCAGCTTATATTTTATTTTATTTTTAAAAAATGTTTAGAAGTTCTCAGTTTTGTCGTATGTGTCTGCAACCTAGGACTTGGGAGGTTGAGGCAGATGCTCATGAGCTCAAGGACAACTTAAACTGAAAGGTTAAAGCTTGAGGCAGTGATCACCATGTGTTGCCTGTTTCTGTCTAGCAAAGCAACACGTGGTGGTAATCAAAACATCTGGTTAATTGTGTGCCTATATAAGACCTGCAAATCCTTAGCTTGGGGCTCTCCTCCTGGGCTCCGCTGTGTCGGAGTATAGGATGAGGCCCGAGCTGCAGCCCGTTTAAATAAAACAGCTGTAGAGTCTGACTCTTGGTGGTCTTCTTGTGGGGGTTCCTGCGACCTTGGCATTACAGAACCACACAGAGAAACTGTCAAAAATGCTTTAAATATGATAAATTATTCATTTTGGGTGGTGATTGTGTACATATTTGTTATACAACTCTGTACTTTTCTATGCATTTAAAATATTTTACAATAATAAAAACCAAAAGAGACTGAAACTGAAATAAAAACTGAAAGACACTGTTCACAAAGAAATGTACTTACCCCTCTGCATATCACCTTTACAATAAAAATAAGTAAAAACTGAAAACAGAAAGGAGGTTATTTTTATTATAAATAAAATTGTCTGGGTGCTGTTGGCTCACACCTGTAATCCTTGCTATTCAGGAGTTTGAGATCTGAGTATTGCGGTTTGAAGCCAACCAAGGCAAGAAAGTCCATGAGATTCTTATTTCCAATAAATTACTCAGAAAAAACTGGAAGTGGTGCTGTAGCTCAAGTGGCAGAGCACTAACCTTGAGCACAGAGTCTCAGAGACAGCACCCAAGTTCTGAGTTCAAGCTCCAGAACTGGCAAAAAACAAAAATCAAACCAAAACAAAACAAAAAACACAAATAAAGCTGAAGCCAGGTGCTGGTGGTTCACACATGCAATTGAAATTGTATCCACTTGAAATAACTAAAACATAAATAGAGCTAAGGACATGGCTCAATTGATAAAACTGTATCTCCCTAGCAAGCACAAGACTCTAAGAGCCAGGTTGAAAATATTCAGGTAAAATGAAAGGTTATTTCTGATTAGAAATTGTTAAGAGGGAGGAGGGTATTGAGATGAGAGCAAAATAAACAGTAATAGTGTGAACATGATAAAAGTATGCATATATGCATATGTGGAATTTCACAATAAAACCTCTCACTTTGTAAAGTTAATAGACAATAATAAAAATAAAAATTGAAAACTGTTAACTATTTTAAAATTCTATGGTTTTCTTTTTTTTTCTTTTGAATTTTATCGTACAGAGGGGTTGCGGTTACATAAGTCAGGTAATGAGTACATTTTTTTCTGAACAGTGTTACCCTCTCCTTTTGTGTTTTTCTTGCTTATTGGAGAAATATTGCATCCTTCAAATGACGTGGCCATAACTCTCAAGAAATCATTTTCCTCGGTTAACCAATGAGGTTGCAAGAGAGGTAAATCTTGGTCATAAACCAGTTACCTTTCTCATTCAACCTTAAACAAAGAGCTTTACCTGAATTAGCCCATTTCATCCTCACAATGGCCCTGGAAATAGGCACTATTCCATTTCATCCTCACAATGGCCCTGGAAATAGGCACTATTGGTACCACCATTCAACTTAACCCAAAGTCAGTGAGCTGGCTAGAAGAGTAAAGGAAGGTATGCCTTTTGCAGGGGAGGTGGGGAGGGAGTACTCCTGGAGAACAGAGGTGGTTCTTATTTGTTGTTTCCGCACTTACTGGGTCAATGAGGGGCAAATGATTAGAATATTTGCCACTCTGTGCTTGATTTAGTTCACTGCTCACCTATTCTTAGGTGCCTGAATATGACCCAGGCCCCAGGGAGTCAGAGTTGGACAGGAATTATCATGCTATGTATAAGAATTGCCCAGAGTTATCATTTCCTTCCAACAACCAACACTTACGATGGCTTGGGATTTGCTTACATTTAAATAGTTTTCCTTGCCCTCTTCAGTCCCAATAATATAAAAGTTAAGTCCATACTTGAAGTCCTTGTCATAAACAAGTACAATTTCATCTCCAGGATATTCCTGTGGGAATACAATTAGAAGAGAAGGTTACTGCTCAATGGTCATTCAGTTTATTCAGCTGCTACCAAAAAATTGGGTATTTCATCCGATCATAAAAGATCACTATGGTGCTATTTTATGGTTGCTAATTCCAAACTGCAAAAGCATTTGATTAACTAAAAAACTCTTTATAAACACAATGGATTCAAGGAAATTCATCATGCAATTTTATTTCTAACAGGAAGAGGGAAACTACTTTTTATTTGGTGTTGTGCTCTGTGCTATGTTTGGAGACAAATAAGGACCAAAGTTAGGGACTAAACAAAGCAGTATGTGAAAATTAGGTAGATCCTTGTTTTAGTGAAAAGTGGACAAGGATGAGATTTTCTGAGCGTAGGGTAAGGCTAGTCAGTGTTGAAACTTTGCTTTTCACAGAAAATCATCAACTATGATTCTAGAGAGGGCTAGGCTATTTGCTTTAAGTATGAGGAATGCTAGCTTGGAACAAACAGCAACAACAACAACAAAACACAACTTTGCAACTTGAGTAGTACATTCCAGGACCTTCTTGAGCAAAACTATGAAGAGAGAACGTATTGTACTGACCCTGATAATTTTTTTGACTGGGTAAAAATCTGATACAGCTGCTCTGTTGCGCAAGTCCTCCAGAATAGTTTCCTTTTTGATAAGCTTATAGGGTTCCTCATCTGTGACATCTTCATCTATTCGGCAGTTGAATATTTCCTGGGTCTTGGTAGTTAATACTAGTGGATAAATTTCTGGGTGGCCTAAGAAAGTCAAAGCAGCACTTGGACATTAAATATAAGCACTTAAATATTAACACTAGGAAATAACAATTGTTGCCTTATGATAGTTCTCTTGGTTTTAAACCAAGAGACTAAACACTTTAAATTTATTTTTCTTATATTTGAAGCAAATATAACTACTACAACAGAAAAACCTGGAACAAAATGAAAAAGGAGAAAAACCACAATTGCCCACAGGGCCCTTTCAAAGAGAACTTACATTAGTATTTATTTTCTTTTAGCCACTCCATGTACATGTTATAAGAAATTCTAAATCTTGCATTTAGGATTTACTGTTATATCCCAAATACTTCATTATAACATTAACAGACTTACCAGAATATCATTATACATTAATATATATGATGTGTGTGTGTGTATGTGTGTGTTTTGTGTGTATGCATGCTAGTACTAGGGCTTGATCAAAGGGACTGGGTATTGTCCCTGAGCTTATTCACTCAAGACTGGCAGTCTATTTACAGTTTCTTTCTCCCTTTTCCCCAGGGCCTGGACACTGTCCTTGAGCCTCTTTGTGCTCAAGGCTAGCAACTCTACCACTTGAGTCACAGCACCACTTCTGGCTTTTTTCTTTGTAAGAGTCTCATGGACTTTTCTGCTTGGGCTGGCTTTGAATTGTGATCCTCAGATCTCAGCCTCCCAAGTAGCTAGGATTACAGGCATGAACCACTAGTGCCCAGCTTATTGCTAGCCTTTTAATGGTTAATTCGGGATAAGAGTCTCATGGACTTTCCTGCTCAGACTGGTTTCCAGCCATGATCTTCATATCTCAGCCTCCTGAGTAACGGAGGCTTACAAGTGTGAGCCATCAGCACCTTGCTTAGTAATAAGTAATATATCATCATATGATCAAATTATAATGGGATTAATAAACCTCATTACTAGTTTAACTGTAGCATAATTTTAAACCATTCTTATGTTGGCACTCATTCTAATTTAAAAATTATTTCTGGGGCTGGGAAGGTGGCTCAGTGGTAGAGTGCTTGCCTCATGTGCATGAGGCCCTGGGTTCGATTCCTCAGCACCACATAAGCAGAAAAAGCCGGAAGTGCTGACAGGCTAGAGTAATGAAGCTGTGGTGATTTGAAATGAGATGGGTTCGTTGGAACCTGGAACAGAGAGAGATGTTAGTTGCTCCAAGAGAGTGAGAAAGAGATTGGATCAAAATGGGCATGGCTTCAGGCCCTCCTGAAGCTATCCTAGGTCAGGAGTATCTGTCAGATATGTCACATATCTGCTAGATATATGTTCAAATAAACCTTTATCTCCATTAATTGACTATCGCTAGTATTTGTTATAATGACAGATATGTAACCAACACAACTGCACTTTAACTTCAGAATTATCAATATTATGAAAGAAGAAAATTTCCTGGGGTGGGATTGGAGTCTAGCTCTCAAGGACAGGAAAGGAGTTCCACAAAGACCAGAGAGATCTGAGATTTGAATAAAGATCAGAGATCTATTTCCTTATTCTATATGAACAGAAGACAAAATTCTAGCCCAGCACCTCTGGCTCATGCCTGTAATCTTAGCTACTCAGGAGGCTGATATCTGGGGATTATGATTCAAAGCCAGCCTGGGCAGGAAAGTCCATGAGACACTTATTTCCAGTTAATCACAAAAAACTGGAAATAGTGCTGTGGTTAAGGTGGCAGAGTGTTAGCTTTGAGGAAAAAAACTCTAAGGAACAGCTCCCAGACCCTGATTTCAAGCCCCAAGACCAATACAAAGAGACAGACAGACAGACAGACACACACACACACTAAAATCTTCATGTAAGTGAACTAGGAGAAAGATTTTCTCCCCATTCCTAAGAAATGACTTGTTGGAATAAGATTGTTTAACGTTTAAAAGAAAGAACAGCATTGCTTTGGTTGTCTATGTTCTATTTATTTTCTTGAAAATGAATCCCTTTCCATGAAAAAGTAGAATCTGAACATGAAGCACAGGCTAAATATTGCTAGTGAGCCAGAGTTTGAAAAGTACTATTCTGATAAAAGTAATAATTTTCCAGTTACAAAAGACCTTTCAATAAACACACCAGTTGTTTAGGGTACTGCTTGAGTCAAGTCTGTTTCTCAGTTTGAAATTCTCTTTTCCATTCTTATTTTATATTCACTACTTAAAATTTTTCATTCCATATTCTAAATCATGTGGTATAATTTTACACCTTGTAAATGTTGATACGTATCGTAGACAAAGTCTGTGATATTTCTACTTACCCATGCTCTCCATATTTACTGGTTCCTCTTCTTCCACAACTAGAATGTAATAAAATGATATCAAATTTACATTTTTGAGTCAAATAATCTCAATTGACTAATCTTTTACCAGACCTCTTGAGACAATTTATAAATACAAATACACAATGAGGACTTAAGCTAGCCTTGAGTAATTAAAAAGTGAAAAATCTGAAATATTGTCTTTCTCACAGTCCTTTCTGGTATAGTTGTTACAGCATTCATTACATGGCATTTGATACTGTAATCAGGCAAGTAAAAAAGTGAATTCCCACATATTTAATTTTGAATGGGCTGGACCTTATGACAGCAAAACTATTATGTTCAAGAAATAAATCCAAGCTTCATTTTCAATGAAAATAATCATACCAGGAAATCCTTTTTTGCCATGAGCTCCCTTTTTTGCTTCACCTTTGACCTTTTTTGGTGATTTTGGTTGCTTTGATGGTTTTGGTGATGGTTTTGGACCCATGGTTCTGACGTAGGCTGCAGAAAGAAAAATCATTGATTAGTAAATCCTGGTTTGCATTTGCAAATGTATCAGGCATTATCATTTATTGAACATAGCAATATGTTTCTAGATTTTGCCCTGGATTCAATCAACATGCGATTTGAGTACAAATGAGGATTGTGTGACCAAAAGTTTATGGCAACAACTGATAAAATCTTGTTCCAGTGGAACCATTCAGCTGCAGCACAGGATAGTAACCTGCCAGAACTTCAAGGTTTCCGTACAGGCCCTATTATGGAAGTGCGGCAGAGAAGCTGCTCTCCTGACGCGCCAGAGTGGCCTTATGCAGGTCTCCCTAACAGGTGCTCCAACAACATGCGTATATGTACATAGTTTTAAATAGACATAATAATAATTTAGATCCTAAATTCTGTTTTAGCATGTGAGCATGTAGTCGCTAAATTGTCAGATGAATCTCCAATAGAGTTGCTTTATTTTGGCAGGATGTAACATTGGCCATGTCACCATAACAGTGTGACCATGACAGCAAATCTTTATTTCGCCACAATATTTACCTCTGTCCCATTCTATCAAGAGAGTAAAAATACAATTTGAGAAATCAAGGCAGCAAGGTTTAAAAACAGTTTGTGTGTGTGTGTGTGTGTGTGTGTGTGTGTGTGCAAGGGATAGGTATGGGCTTGAACCCAGGACCTGGGCATTTTCCTTTTTCATTCAAGGCTGGTGCTCTACCACTTGAGCCACAGCTACACTTAGGGCTTTTTGGTGGCTAATTGGAGGTAAGTGTCTCAGGAACCTTTCTGCCCCAGCTGGCTTTAAACTGTTATCCTTAGATCTCAATCTCCTGAGTAGCTGCCATTACAGGCTCAACCCACTGGCAGTAGGCCACTGGGTTTTTTGTTTGTTTGTTTTTGTTTTTTTGGGGGGGTCCAGTCGTGGGGCCTGAACTCTGGGCCTGGGCGCTGTTCCTCAGCTCTTCAGCTCAAGGCTAGCGCTCTACCACTTGAGCCACAGCACCACTTCTGGCTTTTTTCTTTTTGCTTATGTGGTGCTGAGGAATCGAACCCAGAGCCTCATGCATGCAAGGCAAGCACTCTACCATTGAGTCACCTTCCCAGCCCTTTTGTTTTTGTTTTTTAATCAGTGAGTGACTTTACCTTCTCAGTCCCAGAAAGGGGTTTCGTGGAGTTAATAATAAAGTCTATTCCACAAGGTGACCATGAAGTCTTAATAAGATTAATAAATATTAAAAAAAATTTTAATTGAGATTGATTACATACATTTCACAAAATTTACAGTATTGGGGGATAGTGATACTTAGTGAAAGTCACACACACTTTTTAACCTTCACGAGGTGCATTGTCATTATCATGGTCTATAAGGCTTATGGTCTTTACAAACTTTGACATTACAATTATTTCTTCCAAATCTGGTGAATGTATATTTCTTTCCTTTTGCTTAGTGTCAGCTGTTCTTCCTTTCTCTCTCATTCCTCCTTCCCATTGCTGCCCTTGAGTTGCTTAGTTCACTTTCATCAATGTCCACTGTGGCTGATGGGCCCCTCTGCTGTATTTTTTCCCCGTTTCCCTCTGATTCTGTGCCATTTTCCTATCTTCCCTCATGTACACATGTACATAACATATATGAGGTCAAGGACATGGGTCATCTAGAAATTATATGAAAAATTAAGAAGAGATCCTTTTTTTGAGTTCTGTTTACTTTGTCCTATCTCCTTGAATTTAGAGTTGAACATCCACATATCAGAGAGACCATGTGCTCTTTGTTGCTCTGATCTTGGTTTACCTCACTCAACATGATTTGCTCTAGTTCCATCCATTTCCTTTCCCCATGAATGCCATTATTTTGTCCTTTCTAATGGCTCTGTAGTATTCTATTGTATATCGGTACCACAATGTTTGGATCCATTCATCTGTAATGGGGCATCTGGGTTGTTTCCATATTTTGGCTATTGTGAACAGTGCAGCAATGAACACGGAGGTGCAAGTGTCTTTATATCCTGGCTCCTGTTGCTCAGGGTAGATGTCTAGGAGTGGTATGGCTGGGTCATAAGGAAGGTTTATGTTTAGCTTTCTGAGGATGGACTGCTTTCCAGAGTGGTTGTACGAGTGTACATTCCCATCAGTAGTGCAATAGGGTTCCTTTTTCTCCGCATCCCTGCCAACATTTGTCATTGGCTGAGTTTAGGATGTGGGGGATTCTGACTGGGGTAAGGTAGTATCTTAGTGTTTTTTCTTTCTTTCTTTTCTTTTTTCTTTTTTGCTGGTTGTGGGGCTTGAACTCTGGACCTGGGTTCTGTCCCTGAACTCTAGCTCAAGGCGAGTGCTCTACCACTTAAGCCACAGCGCCACTTCTGGTTTTCTGGTGGTTAATTGGTGGTAAGAGTCTCATGGATTTTCCTGCCTGGGCTGGCTTTGAGCCGTGATCCTCAGATCTCAGACGTCTGAGTACTAGGATTACAGGCATGAGCCACTGGTGCCAGCTATCAGTTTTTATTTACATTTTCCTTATGGCCAGGGATGATGAACATTTCCTCCTGTGTTCTTTGCCATTTTTATCTCTTCTTCTGAGAAGCCTCTCTTCAGTCCTCTTGTCCATTTAATGATTGTTTTATTAGATTTGGGAGGGATTATTTTCTTAAGTTCCCTGTATATACTGGATATTAGGCCTTTGTCTGATATATTGTTGGTAAATATCTTTTCCCAATTGGTTGGCTGTCTGTCTAGTTTGGAAGCTATGTCTTCAGCTGTGCAGAAACTTTTTATTTTAAGGTAGTCCCATTGATCAAGTCTCTCTCCAATTTGTTATGACCCTGGGTCTCTGTTCAGGAAGTTCCTGCCTGAGCCTCTAAGTTGTCATGTCTCTCCTACTCTGTCCAGCAGTAGTTTCAGAGTTTCTGGTTTAATGTTAAGGTCTTTAATCCATTTTGAGTTGATGTTGGTGCATGGTGACAGGCTGGGGTCCACTTTTAGTTTTCTGCATGTGGCTGCCCTGTTTTCCCAGCACCAATAGTCGAAGAGGCTGTGTTTCTTCCACTGTATGTCTTTTATTCCATTGTCAAATATCAGCTGACTATAAGTATGTGATTTTCTTTCTGGATCTTCTAATCTATTCCACTGGTCTTTGGGTCTATTTTTATGCTAAGTGCAAGCTGTTTTTGTTATTATGGCTCTATAGAAGAGCTTGAAATCTGGTATCATGATCCCTCCTGCATTGTTTCTTTTGCCTAGAATTTCTTTGGCTATTTTAGGTCTTTTGTTGTTCCATAAGAATGTTTGGATTGTTTTCTGTATTTCAGTAAAGAACGTCATTGGGATTTTGATGAGAATCTGTATATCATTTTTTATATATAAATTTGTATCTCGTTTTGTAAGGCCATTTTTACAATATTGATTCTGCCTATCCAAGAACATGGAAGGTCTTTCCATTTCCTGGTGTCCTCTGATCTCTTTCTTTAGGCTTTTATAGTTTTCACTAAATAGTTCCTTTACATCTTTGGTTAGGTTAATTCTTAGATATTTTATTTTATTTTATTTTTTTTAATTTTTTTATTTTTCAGACTATGAAAATTTATTACTATTGTGTTTTTATCAGATATTTTATTTTTTTGAGGTTACTGTGATGGGTTTGGTTCCCTGATTTCCCTTTCTGCTTGTACATTGTTGGTATACAGAAAGGCAACTGATTTTTGTGGGTTAATTTTGTATCCCACTACTTTGCTGAAGTGGTATATAAGTTCTAGGAGTTTGGGAATGGAGTTTTGGGGGTCATTTAAGTATAATATCATGTCATCTGCAAATAGGGGTAGTTTAATTTCTTCCTACCCTATGTGTATTCCTTTAATGTCCTTTTTTTTGCCTTATTGGTCTGGCTAAGGATTCCAGAATTATATTGAAGAGGAGTGGAGAAAGTGGGCATCCTTGTCTTATTCCTGATTTTAGAATTGGTTATAGTTTTTCCCCATTTAGTATAATATTGGCTATTAGTCTGTCATATATGGCTTTTATTGTTTTAAAGAATTCCTTCTATTCCTATTTTCTCCAGAGCTTTTAACATGAATGGGTGTTGTATTTTATCAAAAGCCTTTTCTGCATCAATGGAAATAATCATGTGGTTCTTGACCTTGGATCTCTTGATGCATTATATTAATTGATTTGTGTATATTAACCCAGCCCTCTATCTCTGGGATGAAGCCTACTTGATCATAATATATGATTAATGAGACTAATAAACATTTTATTAACATCAGTTCTGACATCTCATGCTGATGTCTCTTATTTTAATAAAATCAACCCAAACTGAATACTATTTCATACCATCATGAGTTTTAGTTTTTCCTGAGTCCCTTGATTGCAGAATCTTGACTAAAAAGTACGTGGAGGTCTGTGTGTTTGCCTAGAAATATTTTCCTCTTCAGATTTTTAAACTTTTTTTTTGTTTTTCAAATGGTAATGATAGCTCACTGTTGTGAAGTGCTTACTATATGCTGGACATAGTTCATAGAACCTTAACCACACTTTATTGTCACTGTTTTCATCATCCCTCACTTTATGAGTAGATAAGAGAGGCCCTGAGAGATCAGGTGACTTTGCATAGTGCAGTGGGCAGCGGGCCAGGCTGTGAACTCTCAGTGAACAATCAGCCTCTGTGGACTGTCCCTCGGATTCAACGGCAGCTGCTGCATGTCACTGGGAGTGAAGTGACTTTAATTGTCTGGAAAGGCATGCATCATTTTTTTACTCAAAGTTTTGTGATTCTGATGCTATAAAAATCTCTACTTTCTTCAATAACTTAGTCACAATTTTTGAGACTAAGTTGTCTCTAACCCACTTCCTAGACTTAGTATAATTTCAAATCTTGTGCTTAGTCATTTTTTTAAGAAAAATTCCTTATCAGTGTA